TGTCCCCTTTAAGTTGTGAACAAACTTCTCTTGACCAAAGGAAGTGAGAACCTAGCCAGAGGCCAGGGTAAAAAGGGACCGTGTCCTTGGAAGTCTTTAAACATCTAAGAGGCAGCTAGGTGTCTCAGTGGATAGAGCAGGAGAGTTGGAATCAGGAAGACTTGAGTTTAAATATGACATGGCACGGTGCTTGGCACGCTGTAGGCACTTGATATATGCTTGTTTTGTTTCTTCCAGGGACGTGGTGAGAAGAAAATGAAGACTAGAGCCAGGAAAAGGTAAAAAAGTGAAAACATTGTTGGCTTTTGTATAATTTTGTGAGTGTTAAAACTCTCCTACTTGGAGAAGCAGTCAGAGGATTAAGGGGTTCAGATCTAATGGGAACTAGATCATTTGGGACAGTTGTGGCCAACCCTGGACTTCTTCGTTCCTTAAGTCAAAGTCTTATTGGCAACTAGGTGGCATAGTGAATAAGGAGCTGGACTTGTAGTCAGGAAGACCTGGGTTCAGATCCTATTACTGAAGCTTAACTAGTTATATGACTCAGTACATGCTCTTTCCTCATCTGTAAAATGGGAATAATAGTAGCACCTACCTCACAGAGTTTAAGACGAAAAAAAAAAGACATATGTTAAGTACTCTGAAAACCTTAAGGTGCTATATAAATGTTAGCTATTATCAGTTCTTCCCAAGGTGATCATTTTTTAAAAAAATTATTTAGTATTTTATTTTCCCCAGTTACACATAAAAAAAACATTTTTAATATTCATTTTTAAAACTTTGAGTTCCAAATTCTCTCCCTTCCTCCCTCCCCAGCCCCACACTGAGAAGGCAAGCAATTTGATATAGATTATACATGTCTAGTCACACAACATTTTCATAATAGTCATATTGTGAAGGAAAACATTAACCAAAAAAATCCTCAGGAAAAACAAAGTAAAAAAAAATTATACTTCAATCTGTATTCAGACACCATCAATTTTTTCTTTGGGGATGGATAGCATTTTTCATCATAAGTCCTTCAGAATTGTCTTGGATAGTTGTATTACTGAGAATAGTTAAGTAGCTCACAAAGCTGATTATTTTATAATATTGCTATTACTTTGTACACAGGACATTTCATTTTACATCATCTCATGTAAGTCCAGTTTTTTTCTGAGAACATCCTGCTCATCATTTCTTTTTAAAAATTTTTTATTAATTTATTTTGATTTATCAACAATCACTTTCATATGCTTTTGAGTTTAAAAATTTTCTCCCCCTTCCTCCTCACCACCCTCCCCAAGATGGTGCACAATCTGATATAGGCTATACGTATACATTCCTATTAAACATATTTTCACATTAGTGATGTTATAAGTAAAAATTAGAACCAATAGGAGGAACCACCAGAAAGAGAAAACAAAACTCAACAGAAGAGGGGGAAAAAATAGCAATTCAAATTCCTTAGTTCTTTCTTTGGATGTGGATAGTATTTTCCATCATGAGACCTTTGGAGACATCTTAGATCTTTGTATTGCTGGGAAGGGTTAAGTCTATCAATATTAGTCATCACACAACGTGGCTGTTAGTGTGTGCAATGTTCTTTTGGTTCTGCTTATTTCACTCGGCATCAAACCATACAAATCTTTCCAGGTTTTTCTGAAGTCAGCCTGTTCATCATTTCTTATAGCACAATAGTATTCCATTACATTCATATACCACAACTTGCTCAGCCATTCTCCAATTGATGGGCATTCTCTCAATTTCCAATTCTTTGCCACCACAAAAAGAGCTGCTATGAATATTTTTGTACATGTGGGTCCTTTTCCCATTTGTATTATCTCTTTGGGATATAGCCCTAGAAGTGCTATTGCTGGGCCAAAGGGTATGCACATTTCTATAACTCTTTGATCATAGTTCCAAATTGCTCTCCAAAATGGTTGGATCATTTCACAAATCCACCAACAATGCATTAGTGTTCCAATTTCCCCACTTCTTCTCCAATGTTTATCATTTTCCTGTTCTGTCATGTTGGCCAATCTGATGGGTGTGATATGGGACCTCAGAGTTGTTTTGATTTGCATTTCTCTAATCAATAGTGATTTAGAGAATTTTTTCATATGACTATAGATGGCTTTAATTTCTTCATCTGAGAACTGTCTGTTCACATCCTTCGACCATTTATCAATTGGGGAATGGCTTATAGTCTTATAGATTTGGCTTAATTCTCTATATATTTTAGAAATGAGACCCTCATCAGAGAGACTGGTTGTAAAAATTCTTTCCCAATTTTCTACCTTTCTTCTAATCTTAGTTGCATTGGCTTTGTTTGTGCAAGAACTTTTCAATTTAATGTAATCAAAGTTATCCATTTTGCTTTTCGTAATGTTCTCTATTTCCTGTTTGGTCATGAATTCTTCTGTTATCCATAGATCTGATAGGTAAACTATTCCTTGCTCTCCCAGTTTGCTTATAGTATCAGCCTTTATATCTAAATCATGAACCCATTTTGACTTTATTTTCGTATATGGTGTCAGATTTTAGTCTATGCCTACTTTCTGCCATATTCTTTTCCAGTTTTCCCAGCAGTTTTTTTTTTCGAAGAGTGGGTTCTTATCCCAGAAGCTGGGGTCTTTGGGTCTATCAAATAATAGATTACTGTAGTCATTGACTACTGTGTCTTGCATACCTCACCTATTCCACTGATCTACTACTCTGTTTCTTAGCCAGTACCAAGCAGTTTTGATGATTGCTGCTTTATGATATAATTTAAGATCTGGAACGGCTCGGCCACCTTCCCCTGCATTTCTTTTCATTAGTTCCCTTGATATTCTGAAATTTTTGTTCTTCCAAATGAATCAAAGGTGATCATTTTAACTTACGGTTTTGTTTTGGTGGGTTTTTTTTTCTTCTTAGACACAAGTCATTATTTCATTGACATGGGGCTTTGAGAGCTCCAGCTATTTCTCGCAGCACAGAATAACCGTGAACCTAGGGAATTCCCTGTCTCAATGCAAACCTGTACAGTTACTGTTTGTGGATCCACCTAGCTTCTCTCATTGGGCCCATGTTCAAAACCTTTCCCCACTTGGTAAGATCTGCCAGAGCTCGCGCTTGACCGATTGGCATAGGTTTTGACGCTAAAGCTAATTGAGACCTTAAAATCTTTGAGAACCAGGGTACCATCTATATCAGAATAATGCTCCCAAAGAGGACTTTTCATTTTTCCCAGACTTCCTATGTTAAAGCACCAAAGCCTTCTGTCCCTAAATTTCAAATTTCATAAAATGCAACCAAATAATTTTTCCCTGAAGCACAGGATCTGGCACAGAGTAAAGAGCTTAATAAAGGCTCCTCAGTAAAGCTATTGTATCTTCAGCACTGATCTTGAGTTTTTCTTCCCAGGTATTCTCCAAAACAATCTACCTCAGCTAAAGCATCGACATCCAGAGAGGTAGGCTCCTTCTTGTTAGGATTTAGAAGGGATAGATTTCATTGTTTTCATCTATGACATGAGTGTCATAGCACCTGCCTCCTAGGGTAGTAAGGATCAAATAAAATAAGGTGCATTTAATGTCTTGCAAACCTTAAAGTATTATTCTAAATGCTCACTATTAACGCACCCTAGCATGCTAGACCCAGAGCCTATTCTTTGATTCCTCAGATGGTTCTGTTTTTTCCACTATTTGTGGGACCTTGGGCAAGTTTAACATCTGGTGGTAGAGAAGTTTCTAACCTTATAAAATGAGGAGTTGGACTGGATATCTATCTAAGGACCCTTTTAGCTCAGTCTTGTAATTCCTTCCCCACCCCTCCAACCAACTTTGTAGTAAGTATAGGAACAGAATAACAGAATTTTTACATTAGGAAGCAAAACCAGCTGAAGCTCCCCTACCACACAAGTATGGGTGTATGTATATGTATATATACATACATCTGCACATATATACATATATGCATACACAGGTATTATTTATTTCTGGGGAGATGGTCCCCTGGGAATTCTAGACATGAGACACTTGACTGTCTAGGAAGTAGAAGGAAATCTTCTTTGCCCAGGCTCTGTCTGTGAAGAATGAAACTCCCTGGAGTAGATGTTCTAAGATGATCCTCCCCTCTGCCTTATTGTCCCCAGTCTTCCCCACCCTTGCCCCCAAACTACATAGAAGTATGGCACTCGTAAAGGAACACAAGGTACAAGGCTTGGGAACCAGTTCAAGATTTCCAACGGGAGTGGGGGGAGAGAGGGCAATATGTATATGGCAGCTAGATGGTATAGTGGAACCTGCCTCTGATACTTGTTAGCTCTGTGACCCTGGGTAAGTAACTTAACTCTTTGTGCCTTTGTTTCTTCATCTGTAAAACAAGGATAATGGCGCCCACATCACAGGGTTGTTACTGGGGCTCAAATGAGATAATACACGTAAAGGCACTTTGCAAACTTTAAGCCCACATAAATGTTAGCTGTTCTCTCCTCTCTCTGTCAGTATCTGTGCTGGTAGAGAATAGGGGTAATCCGTAGATATAGCCATGCTATAAGGGCCTTGGTGACTTTAACTAGCTATCAACATAGAATAACATCTGAAGTTTGGTTCAGACAGCTTCCCCAAGCCTTGACTATGTCAAAGTGCAGTTTGATCATACTTCCTCCCCCCACCCCCTCTTGAAATTAAGGTTAAGGGGTCAGTGTTAAGGGATGCCAATTTTTTTTTTCTTTTTCTGAATCGGTTCTACTGCAGAAAAACACTTTCCTATAAAGGAAAAAAAGATTGGAACAAGGCCTAACTTAGAGTGACTCCTTTTCTTAGGAAAAGATTTATCATTATATTCAAAATGTTCCCTTTACTACACTTAAAATGTGATTCACGCTACTCCGTACACACAACTGGCTGGGAGTAACTGACTCAATCGGGACGAGCTTGGTTTACCTGAAGACAAGCCCTAGTTTAGTGCTTGTGATAGGGAATGGCAACTTGATTTTCTGAACGCTGGGTGGCTTTTCTCTCCAGGATCCACAGTGTCCACAGTGCCTGCAGTATCTGAATGACCCTGAACTGAAACACTTCATAGGAGACCCCAATGATGCTGTAAGTTTGGTTGTGGGTTGGAGAGAGAGGGGAAGGGAGTTCTCCACTTTGATCCCCTCTCTTTACCCTTCTTCTGTTTAACTCTGAAATGTCTCTCAGCTGGAAGAACCAGAGATGTTGGCTGAAACACTGTTGAATGTTTACGAAGAGAGCGAGAAAGGTATTGAGAGCGACGACTTTCTCCCACAACATAAAATAACCTGCTTCAGGTAATGTGGAGTAGTGGGGGGGGGGGGGGGGCAGGTAGTCGGGTCTTTGATGCTTGGATTGATTAGCCCTATGTATTCAGGACACCTACAAACAGCTGGCTCATTGGTTCCTAAAGTGGGCAATACCCCCTCCTGAGGGGGTGCTGGAACGGGGATCCAGAGGGGCGGTGATAGCCTCAGGTGTAATTGGGGTGGCATAGAATAAAAATAAGTGGGTGGTGGAAGCATAAGGAAAGAAGAAAAGATGAGAATTTTGAAAAAAACATTTGTTCGTGTTTCCTCTGTTGTAACAGAGTTAAAGTTGTAGTGATCACACTATTAAAATAAACACACAAAATGTAAATTATAACCAATAAGTGGTCAAGTCAATTGACAGGTCTTAACAAGCAAATGTTGGCAGTCCAGCATGCATTGGCAGGAATATGTGTGTGTAATAACTCGTTTATAATATGATACCATACAGTTACATGACATAATATTGCATCATCCAAATTTCAATGCAGGAAAAAACCCACAAATTTACAATAAGTTATTAAATTTAAGAAGCATCTTAAAAATATTATATTTTTTGAAATGACACAAATTTTTTTAAAAAATTAAAGGGTTAAAGGAAGTAGATTTCGGGGGGGTGGCACTGAGTATTTATTTCTTTTTTTTGAAAAGGGGGCAGTAGGACAAAAGTTCAGGAACCTCTGAGCTAGCTGAATATAGAACAGGATCCTCCCTTCTGCTAAAGATCATTTAATCCAAGGAAGAAAGGAAGTGGTAGTACATTCAGGGCTTCAAGTCCAAACTTAGATTTTTCTTTTTCCCCCTCAAACTACCTATTTGTATAAACTCATATTCATTTAAACTATTCAATAAATGTAAGCATGAACTATGAAATAAACCAAAGGTATGGCTATTATAAAATGAGAAAAGGGAAATGACACTTTCTTAAAGGACTTAGATTGAATGCTACCCCTATATTGTGGGTTTTTTAAGGATAATATCACTATATTCAATTTTCTCTGGTAAAAATTACTGTGAAAGGGAGTATCTTCTTTGGTCATTGCCTAGGAAACCTGACTAAGGATGTAACTGAGGGCCAAATCCTTCTCCACAGGCTGAAGGTTGCCTTCCCTTTGTCAGTGCCAGAAATTCTTTATTTGTCAAATGTTTTTTGTTTTTTTGTTTGTTTTTTTTTTTGCTAGGTAATGGGGTTAAGTGACTTGCTGAAGGTCACATAGCTAGTAAGTGTGAAGTGTCTGAGGCCAGATTTGAACTAGGGTCCTTCTGACTCCAAGGCCAGAGCTCTATCCACTGCACCACCTAGCTGCCCCCATTTGTCAAATGTTTTGAGTACCTAATATTAGGTGAAATATCAAGCTAGGTACTATAGAGTATAACAAAGCAAGTACACAATCCTTGCTCTCTGCAACATCATAACCTAGTAAGAGAGATAAGGACACCTAGGTGTCAAAGTGGATAGACTGCCCTGACTGGAGCCAGGAAGACTTGAGTTCAAATACAGCCTCAGACATTTACTAGCTATGTGATCCTGAGCAAGTCACTTAACCCTGTGCCTCAGTTTCCTCATCTGTAAAGTGAGCTGGAGAAGGAAATGGCAAACCACTACACTATCTCTGCCAAGAAAACCCCAAATGAGGTCACGAAGAGGTGGACACGACTGAACGAGAGAACCTATACATATATCGATGATTTTGAATTTATCATAGATAGTATTTCATGGTTACAGGTTTTTATAGCTTTTCATTGCATCCTCACAACCTTGTAAGACAGAGTCTCACAATCATAGGTGAAGAAACTGAGGTTTGAGGATTAGGAGCTTGCCCATGGTGATCAGATAGATAGTAATTAGTAGAGCTGAGGACTGAATCATGGGCTTTCTGCCATGGCATGGTCCATCTTCATAAGATGAATGTGACATTTGTTATCAGAAATACAAAATTCCATGGGAGCTGAGAAGAAGAGGGTGATGATCCCTTCTGAAGAAAGGAATTCGGGGGAGGCTTCAGAGATAATACTGCAACAACGTCTTAGAGGATTTTGAGAGGCCTAGATGACCAACAGAATATCCTTCAGGGGAAAAGGAACTAGTGTATGCAAAAACATTACTTAAAGAAATAACTTTGTAATTTTCTGGGGATTGTTCTTTCTTATCCCTCCCTTTCCATAATCTACAATTTATTTTTCTATACCATTTGATGTTATGCTTTTGTATCCAAGGTTGAGGGATACTTGTGCATAATGTTAACCAAATGGGTTGCTGAGTCCAAGACTTGATAGTTTCTTAAAAATTAAAGGAGTTAACTTATATAACACAATACTTGATCCAAATTTGTAAGATAGTTGTTACAAGTGTTTATTTTTTTTTTCTCCCCCTCATTCACCAGTGTTTATGACATAGTTGGCCATCTGTGCCCCTTTGATACAGGCCTAGTTGAGAAGAATATAGAACTCTATTTCAGTGGTGTAGTAAAACCAGTCTTTGCAGAAGACGCAAGTTCAGAGGGTAAGGATACACGTTTCATATTCATTTAAACTGTTTAATAAAAATAAGCATGAACTATAGACCAACCAAAGAAATCATGCAAAGGCATAAACTCTAAATGAAGCATAATTGTTTAATATGTTAATTCTGGTTTTTTAAATGGCAAATGTCATGTTTACTTCTGTGTCTTTTTTTTTTTTTTTTTTTGGTCAATTGATATACGTTTGGATTTGGTTACTGTTGGTGATATCTAGTCAGTGGTTAGATAACAATATGAAACTGATTCTATGCGACTCCATTCCTTATTTTCCAAACATGTTTGTCATTTGTAGTACTAGCTATTCTAGTATTAGATCAACTTTGTATGTTTTTGTTCTTCTGCCCCTTTCTTCCTCCCTCTCCCTCCCCTTAACCCTCCCCCTATGTTAGTTTCCTTTAATAACATTCTTAAAGCATAATCTTACTCTGAGGGATCAATGAATTAGTTTATGACCAATTTATTAGCTTCTTCCATGTTGCCACGTTGCTTTGTAAAGATTACTAGTGGTGCTGTGAATTTGTGTAATGTCATAATATGCCTGTTTCTCCATGGCCCTGCCAGCATTGAGTTCTCTTGTTTCTAATGTACTTGTACCAATTGAGTATATGAGTATTACAATTGCACTGTAGTACCAGCTGTCATTACCACTCAGAACATAGGCCAATTAACTTTCGGTTCCAATCAGAGTTGAGGCTTAAATTTTTTTCTTTATGAAAAGAGAAAGTATTAAGTATGAATTTTGGTTTTTTCTTTTCTTTAGGTGGCATCAAAGCCAAAGCACTTGGTCCTATAAATGCATGGTGGATTGTTGGTTATGATGGGGGAGAGAGAGCTTTTATTGGATTCACAACAGGTATCTTGAAAGATGATTTCAAAGCCAGAGTTTGAAGTGCCTTTTTTTTTTTAAACTAAAGACCCAAGTTTTTAACCTATACAAAGTCCTTTAAACCTCCCTGGGTACTAGAAATATTTCAATAAATAATTTTAATATCCAAAAAACTTATGCAGGTATTAAAAATATATCATATTTGGACAACTTGATAGTATCAAAAATCTGATCTATCTATAAACTGAAACTAAAGTCTCATACAAGAGAAGGGAAGAGCCAAATTTCCTATTTGAAGGATCAAATTCTACCTGAGAACTACCCCGTTGACTTTCTGAATTAAAGCCTAGGTTCTCAAGCATTTGTTTAGACATCATAGTGGTTCAAAGATTGATTCTGAGCTCTGTTTCCAAAATTCCACTATTTCAATATTCACTCTTAAATGACATTGCTTAAATGACAACCCTGCAACTGTCCCCATTGACTCCTTCTTCCACACAGTCCCCTTTGTGGATTTTAAAAATCAAATTTAAACATGTGTTAGAGCCAGGAGTGATTATGCACAAACTGTAGCCCCTGTTATTGGAGAGGCTGAGGCTGGTGGATTCCTGAGTTTGAGTTCTGTGCTGTAATAGGGCTCAAGGTGACTGGGTGTCCATACTAAACCTGGAACAAATATGATGATTTTTTCCCCCCAGAAGTAGAAGGCCACCAGGAAGGCTGAGGAGGCATAAACTGATTTAATTTCAAAAATGGAGCAGATTAAAGCTTCCATGCTGATCAGCATTGAGTGTGGGCCCTGGAGTGGCCACTATATTTCTAGCCTGGGTAAGATAGGGAGAGCCACAAAACCCAACACTTTTAGACATAAAATATTTTGGTCATGTTTTTGTTATATCACTATCTATTTCCCAATAATCTCCACCCACCACCCGCATTAGAACTCTCCCTTTTTACCCAAAATGGTTAAAACAAACCAACAAGTACAACAACCATATCTGATAGCTTGTATAATCTGTACCCTAATGGTCTACCACCTTCCAAATGAGAAGGTGTTATCAAGGTCCTCTAGGACCAATTTGATCTAAATTCTGATGCCTTGAATGTTTGACGCATCCCTAAAAATTCCACTCTTCCAGGTTTTGCCGACTATATTCTGATGGAACCTAGTGAGGAATACGCTCCCATCTTTTCACTGATGTATGAGAAGATGTACCTGAGTAAAACAGTTGTGGAATTTTTACAGGCAAATACTGATGCCACTTATGAAGACCTCATCAATGCAATAGAAGTGAGTATCCAGAGTCCTTAACACTCTCCTATGAAGACTCGACTCTTTAGAAAGTTTTAGCACAACTTTGAGCTACCATTTTTCTAGTTTGAAAGTCAAAACAGAAGTTCAATATTGTCCCAGGGTAATTCCTTCGGGGCTTGTGTAGATTTTTTCCCTCAACTAAAAATAAGACAGTATGATTTCCTTGCTGACAAAGGAAAATGATTTTTTTTAAAGGCAATTGGGGTTAAGTGACTTGCCTAGGGTCACACAGCTAGTAAATGTCAAGTGTTTGGTCTGAGCCCAAATTTGAACTCGGGTTCTCCTGACTTCAGGGCTGGTACTCTATTCACTGTGCCACCTAGCTGCTCCTAAAATGATTCATTCTTGACTCCTGTCTCTTCTCTCCCCTCCACCTGCCATTTTACTTACTTTTTTCCTTTCTTTTTTTAAAGAAATCAACACCACTTCCTGGGTTGAATTTTAGCCGGTTCACGGAAGATACCCTCATTCGTCATTCCCAATTTATAGTAGATCAAGTACAATCTTATGATGAGGCCCGAGACATTGATGAGGAGCCCATCATTGTTGCACCCTGCATGAGAGATGTGATTAGCTTAGCTGGTGTTACCTTGGGACAAAGGTAAGCATGTAACCTCTTAGAAGGGAGACCATTTGGTCTTCACCTAATTTTTTTCTAGATTCAATTTTATTTTCAGTTTTGAATTCTTTCTATCCCACCTCCCTGACCCTCTATGAAAAAGAAAAACAAAACATGTAATGAACATGTATAGTCAAGCAAAGCAAATTTCCATGTTAGCCATGACCAATTGTGTCCTTTTGTATTTGTGTATATACATATATATACATATATATGTATATATATACATATACACATACACTTCAATCTGCATTTTGAATCCTCTCAGGAGGTAGGGTAACGTTTCATCATGAGTTCTCTGGAACTATAATTGGTTCCATTATATCGATCAGAGTTTCTAAGTCTTTTAAAGATATTTGTCTTTATAGTATTATCATATACAAATTGTTCTCCTGGTTCTGTTTAACACTTGGTATTCATACAAGTCTTCCCAGTTTTCTCTGGAATCGGCATCTTCATTTCTTACAGTACAATAGCATTCTATCACATACATACTAAAACTTGTTCTGTCATTCCCTAGTTGATGGACATTCCATCAGTTTCCAGTTCTTTGACACCAATAAAGAGTTGTTATAAATATTTTTGTACATATGAGTCCTTCCTTTTTCTCTTAATCTCTTTGGGTACACTCCGTGGGATCACTGGGTCAAGTGGTATGAACAATTTAATAGCTTTTTAGGCATAGTTTCAAATTGCTTTTCAAACTTGCTAGAACAGTTCACAGATCCACCAATAATGCTTTAGTGTACCTGTTTTTCCCACAGCACCTCCAGCATTTGTCATTTACCATTTTTGTCAACTTTTCCAAGAATATGTATTATTTTCAAAAGTGTTAGTGGTGCAACAGAAAAAAAAGGGCATTGGTCACTTCTAGAAATACTCTTTTCCTCCCCCAACATAGATGAAACCTCTGTCATCTTCACACAAAAATTAAATACAGTGACTCTGACCATGTATAAGATTCTGTCCTAATAATCTGTTCTCTCTGAGAAAGAGCTATTTTATTTATTCTCTAGGACCATTATCAATCGCTAACAGGTACATAGAGTAAACTTCATTTTGTAGGCTATGCTTTAAAATTAGGTTAGTTATCAGCATGGGAATAAAGCTAATCAATTAGCTTTAGTTGGGACTGCCCAAGGGGACCATGGATAAATTTCAGGGGGGGAGGTCTGAACTTGGATGAGGAAAAATATACATCTTGATTCTCACTGAAATTTTCCTTTAATTATGAAATTGTAGAAAAATCCTTATTCTGATGAGGGGTTCATGGGCTTTACCAGACTGCCCAAAGCAGCCATGATTCAAAAAAAGTTGAGAAGCCCTGTTTTAGGGCAAGATGGAAGTTTTTATATTGGGGTAAGCTTTCTAATTCTTCCATAACCCATTCTGGGTAGAGTACGGTAGGAGGTGATCTTTCTGGCTTGATTAAGGTCTATTTAATTTCATCCAAGTCTTAATGTTGGTTTTTGGGGGGGGGGGGCAGGAAATCCTAGCTATCCAGAAGAGTACTCTTCCAACTTGTTGTTGGGTTGTATTTTGTTCTTTGGATATTGTTAGCACATTGACCCTTTATGTTACCCATGGACCAAAACCTGCTTCTCATTTTGTGTGTCTGCCTGTGTGTCTCAGACGAGCTGCAAGGCAGCAAGCCATCAAGCACACTACCAAAGTGAACAAGACGCAAGCCCTAACCAAAGCCACCACCACCAAGCTCGTCTATCAGATCTTTGATACTGTGTTCTCAGAGGAAATAGACAAAAATGGAAAAGACAATGGAAAAGACAGGAATGGAAAAGATGAGGCAGACACTGCGGTGAAGCGTAGGCGCTGTGGTATCTGTGAGGTAATGCACATTTAACTTGCTTTGTGGAGAATCCTTCTGTCCCATACGTCTCTGAATTTTACACTTGCTACTTTTTTTGGTGCTGTGTTCCACTGAATTCTCCTTTTATAACAAACAGTTAAGGCCAATCAGTTGTCTTTAATAACTCATCAGGCAGTACATGACAGATCACCTGTGGAATCTCCTACCCCTGTTTTTCTCAGGGACCCAGATTTTGGTAAATCCAACTGGCTACTTCTTAACGTTCATTTGCATTAATTGCTATACATTTAGCATTCTGTTTGTTTTCCACTGCAATGATTGAGACTTCTTCTTGTGTTTCTGAGTTGGTTGTTTTTTTTTTTTTTTTTCCCTTTGGGTACCGTTTCTTATGAACCAGAAATACCCCTGTGACTTGTTCAGCAGTCCTTGGGTTTCTGGTTTCTTGCCACCATTAAAGTACAGTTATGACCATCGTGGTATATATGGGACTTTGCTGTCTTAGCCCCTTGGGGCCTAGGCTCCATAGTAGGATGGCTGGGTTAAATGATAAATGTTTTAGGGACATAATTCCAACAGTCTACCAGAATAATTGGACCATTTCAAGACTCCACTTAAATGCATGCATATGAGAGTCTTCATCCCCCAAAAGGGACTTCTTCCCTCTATTTCTCACTTTTGTGAGATGAAAGTGGCTTTAATTTGCTTTTGGAGTGACTTGGAGCATTCTTGTGTTTACATTAAAAAAAAAAAAGCTAACATTCAGCACATGCTAGGTATAGTGCTAAGTACTTTCTCGTTTGAGGCTCACAACAACCCTGGGAGGTAGGTACTATTCTCATTTTACAGTTGAGGAAACTGAGGCACAGAAGCTAAATGACTTGGCCAGGGTCACACAGCTATCAAGGATCTGAGGCTGGTTTTGAACTTTGGTCTTCCTAACTCCATGCTTGGTACTTCATCTACTGTGTCACATAGATACCTCTTTACTTGGTTGCTAGAAATTGTGAAAACAATTTGCTTTTTCCCCCCTTTAACCTATTGGTTTTACAGGGAATTCCCACACATCTCTTGGTTTTAGACCCTATTGGAAGGGAGAGTAAAGGACAGCCTTTGTAGCCTCTGTACTTTAGGCAGGGTAAAATTAGGGGTTTGAAGGAATCATTAAACAAGAGCAGAAAACAGTAGAGACTTGCTCTAGTCCATAATTGGCACAATTTTCTTGCTTCCACTAGAAGCAATTGCTGAGTCTTGGTCCGGAGTATGGCTTTGTTGGTTGTTGGTTGTTTGTTCTAGCTAGGTGCCAAGGGCCTTCTTCTCTGAGGAAGAGGTTTGGACAAGCAAGGGTTCTAAACAAGGCTTATTTCTGGTACAATATTTAAATTATCAGAATCTTCTGACTCCTTCCCTTTGCAAAAATAAATCTTGACCAACATAATTGAAGATCTCAAAGTTTAATTTTTTACCTTAAAAAAGAATAATTTTAGTACCTTAAATTTTGTTTGTTTTCTGAATGTGTTCTGTGGTTTCACTGCTGAAACTAAGTAAATGGGAAAGCATACTGTAGCTATACCTGCCAGAGGACAGGATGAGTAAATAGAACAGAGAAGGGCAGAAAATTATCTGTGGGGCAAGGGAGAATAAGAGTTTCTGCATTATCAGAGCAGAGGGTACATGTTGGAGGAAATAGGGGGAAAATAAGGTTGGGGTAGAAATGGGATGCAAGATTATGGAAGATCTCAATAGCCAGTTATAATAATTAACAATGAATTCAACAAAGTGACATTTAAAAGTTTTCTTTCAAAATGTTATTTATTCATCTTCATGCCTTTACTGGGAAATGTGAACAGCATCTGACTTAAAATGGCTTTTTGTCTAAAATTTTTAATATTTCTTGTTCTTACATCATCTATATTTCCTAATGCATCCTTCCCCTCCTTCCAGAGTCATTCCCCTACAGCAAAGAATAAAAAGGGGGGATAAAAGCAGTTTAGCAAAAACAATACATCAACCCAGTCTACCATTATATGGGCTGTTCCATACCTGTGGCACTTTCTTCCTACAAAGAAGGAAAGTACTGTACACACTTATATCCCTTCCTTGTGGCCAAACTTGGTTATCTTCATAGAATTCAATTTCTTTTTTTTTTTTCCCCTAACAAGTCTTTATTGATTTCTTTTTTTTTACATCACCTTGAATTTTCCCAATATCCTTCCTCTTTCCCTTACACACAGAGAGCCATCTTATATGACAAATAATACTTTTAAGAAAAATCTTCATACCTGATCAATTTATACTGTATATAGCTTGTTTGTACATAGTTATTTGCATATTATCTCCTCCCTTTAGATTATGAACTCTGAAAACTGGGATTGTCTTACCTTCTTTTGTTTGCCCAGTTTTAGCACATAATAGGTGATTATTGTTTATTGACTATTGATTGTTTATTGGCTAACTGACAATACCTCAAAATCTGAAAATGTGGCATACAAAACTTTGAGATCTCCTAGATAGAGTAGGGGGCGTCTTCTCATGTCTCTTCTTCTGAGCCATGCTTGTCCTTTACAATTTTGCCACATTCACTTTTGATTTTGTGTATATATGTGTTTCAAGTTATGTTGTTGTAGTTATGTCTTGTTTCCTTGGTTCTGCTTACTTCACTCTGTATCAGGTTGCATAAATCTTTCCATGCTTCTCTCCATCATGTTTGTCATTTCTCATAGTTCAATAATATTCCTTTGCATTCACATACCGCAACTTATTTAGCCATTCCCTCAATCAATCGGCATCTACTTGGCCTGTAATCCTTTGCCATCACTCAAGGTGCTGCTATAAATATATGGGTATATGTGGAGCTTTTCCATAACATTCAATTTTGACTGTTCTTCTAACTTACATTGGATTTCTGTATGTTTGTATATGCTGAATTTTCCTGATTGTCAGCTTCAGTTTAAATCAGTTTATGTAAGTCTTTCTATACTTCTCTATATCAGTCACTTTCATCACCTTTGTGAAACACAAATAATTTAGTCATTCCCTTACTGATGGGTGTCTATCTTGCTTTCAGTTTTTGCTTTAACAAATACTGCTATGTATACTTTGATATAGATAAGGCCTTTTGGTTTTTATTTTTGTCTTCCTTGGGGCATATGCATAGTAATGAGATCTCTAGGCCAAAGAGTATAGACATTTAAACACTAAAATCCTTCAGGGTAGGGTGGTGACATAGAATAAAGATGGTACTATCAGTATGCATTGGAAAAAGGAAAGATTGTAGTTAGAGGCTAGCCAGGCAGCTGTCAAAATAATCCTAATACTAGGGAATCATGGAATCGGAGATAAAGAGATTGGAAAGACCATATACAACAGATTTGATAGTGGTTCCCCCCACCTCCCACACACTTGGCTATTTTTCTTTTGGCTAACAGCATTGTTCAGTCGTTTCAGTTTTGTCCAACTCTTTTTGACCCTATTTGGGGGTTTCCTTGGCAAAGATGCTGGAGTGGTTTGCTATTTCACACAGCTAGTAACAGACTGAAGTGGGATTTGACCCAAGTCTTGCTAACTGCAGCTGCACTGTCCTATCCACTGTGCCTAAAAAAACCAGCTACCTCAAAGCTTGGCTAAGATTGTAATTAGCCATTGCGGGACATCCTAATGCCCACAAAACAGGCCAAGATGCTGGTAGTTAAAGAAGGGGGTGATCTATTTAACCTCTGACTCTTGTATAACAATATCATACCAACTTCAAATTGCAAGAAAAAAAGCAAAATGTATAATGTGGTCTAGAACAGAGTTCTTAACCTGGGGACCATAGCTCTGTATTTGAGAACCACTCTTTGTGTCTTATCATCTGCCCCAGCTTCTTAAAGGAATGAGAGGCTTGGTAACCTACCATCATAGTTTGAAGGAGTCTATAGATCTTGTGGGAATATGGATAAGGGGAAAATTAAATCTTTATTTTGATATAATTTGGTTTTCTTTGAAATCTTCTACTTCATGTATTTAAAACCCTCTGAGGAGAGGTCCATAGGCTTTACCAGACAGCCAAAGGAGATCCAGAAACAAAAGATGTCTCTCTGCTCTGGAGAATGAGACCAATTCATTCCTAAAGAGGCTTTAGAATGAGTCTCAAAAGACAATTCCCCAAGTCAGTGTTGCCACTCCAGATCAAGAAAGGCAGACATTGATATAGGTATAGATACACATATGTGTGTATATTTATGTATGTGTATATATATATATACATATACATATACACATACATATTTAATTTTTTAATATAAATTTCACTAATCATGGTTGTTGACTATAGATGTTCTTGCTTCTTCTAGGTTTGCCAACAGGCTGAGTGTGGAACGTGTGAGGCCTGCAAGGATATGGTTAAATTTGGTGGCAGTGGGCGCAGCAAGCAGGCTTGCCTACGGAGAAGGTAAGTTTCTAACAATCCAGGTTTCCTTAGTAGTCACCTATTACGTGCTCTCCCTATTTTTCTACAGGATTAGGTCCTACTAGAGAACATAAATTTATGAAGCAGGCCCAATGTTAGGGCTCACCTTATCCCAAGACTCCTCTCCATTCTACACTCATGACAACTTCTAGGTCTCTTCTCTCTTTGAGTTGAAGGAAAATTTCCATGAATATTCCTTTCACCAATACCATTGGTAATCCTTCCATGCCTTCGCAAATGGCAGGATGTAGTGGAGAGAACGTTAGACTTTGGTTCAGGAAGATCTGGGTCTAAGCACTGCTTAAGGCACTTGCTGTGTGACCCGTAAACAAATCATTTAACCTCCAAGACTCTGTTTTATTTTTCATAAAATGAGGAGGTTGAACTAGATGATCTTTTAATGTTCTCTCCAGTTTTAAAGCCATGACTCTACAGGCTTCAAGAACGGCTATGTCTGGAAAGACTTCATCCTGCAGATAAACGTGGTGGTGGTGATCCTTGCTCAACTAGGCTAGCCTTAGACGATAAATTTGCTGCCCATCTTGAAGACCTCTGCTTGAAGGCCGTCCAATGTGGTTGAACCTGCCAGTGGTTGTTCTTAACTTGCTGGTGAAAGCTTTGAGAATCTGGGGCCCTGGTTATGCCTGTCCCAGGGAAGCATGTAGAATGGGATCAGTATGAGATTCAACAAAACTTTTATTTAAAAAAAAAAAAGTTGGGGACTAAACCTGTGATGTCATTAGTATTAGAAACTTCTACCAGTGCAGGTTATTACTTTCTCAGCAATTTATAATCTTACAGGGCTGTCTAGAGAACTGAGTGACTTGCCCAGGGTCATCTCTTTAGTATTAGAGGCAAGACTTGAACACAGGTGCTCCTAACTTTGAGGCCAACTCTCCAGCTCTTTAGCCATGCTGTCTCTATATAAAGACTTGAAAGGGGGGAAAAATTAGTCAGATTAAGGGGTCATAAATTCCAGAGACTCTTCTCAAAACCAAACATGAGCATTGGTGACCTTCTAGGTGCCCAAATCTAGCTGTGAAGGAGGCAAAAGAGGATGAAGAACTTAATGAGGATATTCCTAACACAGTATCACCCAAGAAAATGCTCCAACAGAAGAAAAAAAAACGGAACAAGACTAAGATCTCCTGGATTGGCGCTCCAATCAAGGTAATATTTAGAAAACTGTCTTGTCTTATTAAAGGAAAAAAAAGTTACTATTCTAACAAGCACATAGTGGTTGCTAGTGGGTAAGAAGACATTCCACCAAATCTAACCCATTCCTTTAATCCTAAGGTTGCATAACTGTTAAGTTAATATCTTCATAGGCTACTATTCCCCTGCCATTAAGATAATGCTAGCCATGGCCCATCCATCTTCCTTCAAAGTTCTGTCACTCGGCTCATTGGCACTGCCAGTACACCCACCAACAAAAATGGGGATAATCCTTGCACTATCTACTTCACGGGATTGTTGAAAGGAAAATATTTTTAAACCTTAAATTGACGTGTACAAGTGATGGGGAGAAGGTATACAGCAAGAGACCAATTTGTTATTGATGCCTTTTTTGGTCAAGCTTTTTATATTTCAGACAAAGAGAATAGCCATAGAAATGGAAAAAAATGGCTAGATGGCTTTAATGATAGTTTTCTGAATTGCCAAATTAGGTTTTAAAACATGGATAAGGGGTTTGTTTTGCTTTGTTTTCCAACTTCTTAAAAAAATGAACTCTTCTTTCCTTAATTCTTGGGTCATTTACGTCAGAATTGGCGATGCGTTAACACACTTGGTCTAGTGCCAGTCTTCCTTTGGACACTCAACTGTTTGTTTAATGAAAGTTACTTCAAAAATTATGCCCTTTGTTTTGGTTTGTTGAGGGATGGAAGCATACCATATATGCAATTGGGGAGGATAAGTATTGTCTTTTCTTAAACGCCAACCCAATTCATTTCAGAATGTTGCCCATGTTGCTTTTTGGCATTCAGCAATTGCCATCGTGAGCCTTTTAAACTGGAAAGGACAGTTATAAATTTATAACCTGTGTAGAAGATGGGGAAAGAAGACAATGTAACTTGTGGGATCAAGAGCAGAGTTCTTGAAGCTTTCTACTGAATTAATACAAAACTGGGTATCTTGTGATTGTTTTACAGGAGGGAGCGAGAAATTACTATGAGATGGTGTCCATTAACTCTGAAAAACTAAAAGTAGGTGATTGTATATCCATCAGTCCTGATGACCCCTCCCAACCACTATGGTTAGCTAGGTTTGTATCATATGCCTTATTTCTAGTTATTTTTTTTCTTCTCTTTTCTGTGCACTTCCCATTCCAATGTATTTAGACATATTTCTCAGGGGCAGGGAAGCATTTGAGTAGCCTTTCCCTCCCCACCCCCCCAATCACATTCTTTGACCACTTATTCACTGGGGAATGGTTACTGGCTTTTATATTTTTGCTGGATCACTATACATCTTGGACATAAAATACTTGATGAAAAGATGTTGCTTATTCCCCTCTTATCCTAATGGCTTCAACTTTGTTGGTACAGAAATTTTTTACCAATTTCATATGGTCAAATATCTCTGATTTATTATTGCGATTGCCTAGCTTAGAACCCTCCCCCAGCCATTGAAAGGAACAAATTGTGTTATTGTGTTCTATCTCTTGACTATCTCATGGTACAACTTTTCAATGTTCATGTAGTGTGTATGTGTGTGTGTATATATATATATACACACATATATATATACACATACATGTTTGTTTTAGTTGTGGTATAAGATGTTGCTTTATAACTTTTGCTAAATTGCTTTCCAGTTTTAATAGTACTTCTTGTCAACAAGGGAGTTTGTCCCCAGAAAATATTTCTGGGTTTGTTGAAGACTAGGTTATTGAGTTAGGTAAATTCCTTGTTTAGATTCTTTGACTTAACTGTTTTTGAATTTTTAAAATTGATGCCAAATTGTTTACTACTTTACTAAGTAACTGGAAATCTGGAAGCATTTTCCAACACCTCCAGCCCCCATTATTTTTCTTGAGATTATAGGAATGACTTTTGTCTAACTGAAGAATGTTCTCTTGGTAATTTAGCATATGACTAAATCCATAAACCTAGGAAGTATGATCATTTGTAGTATGTTGGCACAGCCCAACCCTGAGCAATGTACATGTCACCTTTTTCCTTTATTTTTTAAATAAGTTTTTTATTGATGACTCTTTTTAACATCATAGTTATCCCCAGAGTCCACTCCCAAAAAGCCATCTCAAATAACAAATAGTATTTTTTAAAGACAAAAGAAGAAAAAAATCAACACAACTGATCAATATATGGGAAAAACTCTATAAACATGTGCAATGTGTAATACCTGTGGACCTCCTACTTCTGTGAAGAGATGGGTTGGGGATGTTCTCTCATATCTCTTCATTCAAGTCATGCTTAATCTTTATAATTTTGTTACATTAACTTTTTTTTTTTGGGTATATGGTTCTTTCCATTTACATTGTTATAGTTATTGTGTATGTTTTCTTGTCTCTTTTTACCTCACTCTCTATCAGTTCATACAGTTTTTTCCATGTTTCTCTTTTCATTATACACATTTCTTACAACACAGTATTATACCATTATATTCATGTATCGCTAATACTTTTTTTAAACCATTCTCCAACTTAAGGGCTTCTATTTTGTTTTCAATTCTTTTCTATCACAAAAAGTACTGCTATAAATATTTTGGTATACGTGAGATCATTCTTCTTATCAATGGCTTCCTGGAGGTATGAATCCACTAGCAGAGCCCCTGGTTCAAAGGGTATGGACATTTTAATCATTTTAGTTGTATAATTCCAAATTGTTTTCCACAATGTTTATACCATTTCACAGCTCCACCAAAAATGTGTTAGTGTGCCTATCATCCATAATTCTTCTTGTCATATTTGCCACTTTGCAGGGTATAAGGTGAAACCTCCAGGATTTTTTACATTTGATTCTTTTATCTCTTTAAAGAATATGAATATATGCCTGTATTTATATATAATTGTATTTATAAGCCTTTAATGCCTTGGTAGATGGCTTCTCAGATACCTTGTGTATTTTATAGTTTGAATAAGACCTGTCTTCTATCACTTCCTCTTGGATTCTATGATTGCTACATAGAAATACTGTATTTGGGCATTGGTGGTGGTAGTGGTTGTGTTTTGTGTATCCTGTTATTTTTAGTTTCTTTTTTTTTCTGGGTGAGGCAATTGGGGTTAGCGACTTGCCCAGGGTCACACAGCTAATAAGCGTCAAATGTCTGAGGTCCGATTTGAACTCCGGTCCTTCTGACTCTAAGGCCGGAGTTCTATCCACTGTGCCACCTAGCTGCCCCTATTTTTAGTTTCTTAGGTGATTTGGGGGCACCTGTGGAAGTCACATCAGCAATTAGAAATAATTGTCTTTTCTTTGCCTACATTTATGCCCTTATTTCTCATTATCACTTACATTCAAGGATTATTTCAGTTAAGTGGGAAAGAAGGAACTTTTGCTTTAGAAAGACATGGCAAGTTAAATTAAAGATCTGACTTTCTCTTTCTGATTCTAGAATTGCTTCGTTATGGGAAGACAGCAGTGGACAGATGTTTCATGCTCACTGGTTCTGTACTGGGGTAGATACTATCCTTGGGGAAGCATCAGACCCTCTGGAGCTCTTCTTGGTAGATGAGTGTGAAGATATGCAGCTCTCCTATATCCATGGCAAAGTGAATGTTATTTATAAAGCACCTTCAGAAAACTGGTCCATGGAGGTAGGCACAAATCTTGTTATTTGGCTTGGGCCCTCTAGTTAGCTATGACACTTTTAAAAATTCTAACTCTCAATGAGTGGAAGAAAAAAACCCAACTTTTTTTTTTCCCTTTAATCTCCAAAGGGGGGGTCAAATATAGAGCTCAAAGTGATTGAAGATAACAGGAGAAACTATTTCTACCAGTTGTGGTATGATCCAGACTGTGCAAGGTTTGAGACTCCTCCAAAGGTCGAACCTCCAAAGGAAAACAAATACAGGTGAGTATTTCAGAGTGAATATTTACATTGGTATCTAGTCCACTTCCGGTTCAGTCAAAGGCTCTTTTGGGCCATCCCAAAGCTATAGGCTTCTGGGAACAATATATAGGATGTGGCAGAAAACCTAGAGAAAATGGTTCTCAGGTACATACTAGATAGCAGAGACGACTTAAACTTTCTAAAAAGTTGTTGCTACCCCATGATGAAAGGGAAGTACCCTGAATGCAACTTATTTACCATCTGCACTGGCATTGGTGAGCAAGGTCCCCAGAGGGCAGTTGGTTATTGTTCCAATCGGGGCTCTAGAGGTAACCCTGAAGCATCTGTATATGTAGGTTGTAGTACTATTCATGAATCCCCATCCAGGATGCTTTTCTCCTACCCTCAAATTGAATATGAGACAAATTAGCTTTTGGAAAGGAGATATTTATTGTTCATTTGTTTCAATGGGGTCCAACCCTTTGTGACCCTACTTGGGGTTTTCTTGGTAAAGTGGTTTGCCATTTCCTTCTCCAGATCGTTTTATAGATGAGGAAACTGAGGCAAAAAGGGTTAAGTGACTTGCCCAGGGTCACACAGCTAGTAAGTGTCAGAAACCAGATTTGTACTTGAGTCTTCCTGACTGCAGGGCCTGTGTTTTTTATCTACTGTACCACCTAGTTGCTGATGCGCTATAATTAGAACAGTTTTTACTTTTAAAAATTCCCCTAAAATATCTAGGATACTCTTACATAAGCAAATCCTCCCACCCCAAGTAATTCCTCTCAGAGGCTTATCTAGGGAACTGCTCAACAACCAGGTTGGCCTGCTGTTGGAATTTCTGATTACAAACAGGATTGCTGTCTTATCCAAGCCCCACAAGGAGAGACTGATTTCTCTTTAGCCACCTATAAGTTACATCTATGTGTCATACCTGCTTACATTAAATTCATATCTATTTTACATAATTGATTCAATAGAGGCACCTAAGAATTATTTACATCTTTGATTTTGCAGCTAGAGACATTATCACCTGATAAAAGTATTGACTAGAGCATTTTTGTTAGTGACATTAATTGGGGTTGGAGGGTATGAAAAGCTCTATTTACAAACATAGCTGGATGCTTAGTCTCACTTGTCTGCTTAAATCCTTAGCCTGTCCATTACGGGTCTTTCTCTTCTCTTTCAGGTTCTGCACAAGCTGTGCCCATCAGTCTGAAATGAAGGAAAAGGAAATCTCCAGAGTCTCAGAGCCCCTAGAAGAAGTTGATGACAAAATATTCTATAGCCTGGCAATGAAAAATGGTGTACAGTACAGGAAAGGAGATGGAGTTTTCTTATTGCCTGAGGCTTTTGAGTTGTTGTTAGTATTCTTTTGCCCAGTTTATTTGATTGGGTGTCTCTGTGACAGTCATGATGGGAAAACATTGATTTGTAGCATCTGTCCCATATCGGAAATCATTTTAGGACTTGTCATAGAAGATTATCTTTATGTATCTTAGGCAGCTCCTATCAAGTAGCCTTAGCTATAATATAAAGTCAAAGATAAATCTAAGTAGTTACGAAGCCCTGAAGAGCTTGACAAGGCCATCTGGCTCTAATTAGAGTTTGTTCAAAAGAATAATGGTACAATTTAAGCAACGGGAGTAAGATTGTGATCCTTTCTGGTGGTGGTGGTAGTGGTGCCATCTACCTCTGAGGGTTGTTTTGAGGATCAAGTGAGATAATAATTGTAAAGTGCTTAGCACAGTGCCTGGCACACAGTAGGTGCTATATAAATGTTAGCCATTAGCTGTTATGTAGCACTTTTTTACACATGAATGAAATCGTTGTTTTTTTGTTTTTTGTTTTTTACTGGTCTGAGTGGTCTAGGAGGGGTAATTGTCTTTTGACATCTGAAGAAACTAGGGCTCGGGTGTGAAATAGAGAAGTTGGGGTTCAAATGCGTAAGTCATTACATTTTCTAACTTGGCCTGTTGCCATTTTGGGAGGCAATATTAGAGGAGGTCCCTCAGCTAACACAAATCACATGGTCTTCAAAGCTGAAAGTCCTATCCAGGTCACACCCATACCCAAGGAGGGCTCTAGAGGAGGGATCCTTGCTAGGATCGATCTTCTTTGAAACATGAAGGAAATTACTTTCCTTTAAGTCAGGTGAAAGGCTCATCCTACCATGAGAATTTAAGCTTCTTGAGGGCAATTTGTCTTTCTGTCTGATTCTATTTGTATCCCAAGCCATGAGCACAGTGCCTGGAACTAGTAAGTCAATTAAACGGATTGTGTGAACTCTTAACAAGTTACCCAAGAAAGGAGACTACTTAAACTATAGGTTAAGGTGCCATTTGTGCCATTGAATCCAGTCCAAGCTGAGAAGTCAGTAAAGTAATAATGAGGGTTACCTCCCCACCTACTAAGATTCAGAGTGTGGCCCGATTTAGCCTATGGACCCTGGTCGACTTGGTGAAACAAAAGCCAAGTCTCTGAGTAGGAGTCAGCACACTCATTGATAACCCCCAGGGAAAGTGCTGATGAGCTATCTTGACCACTGCCTTGAGACTATAGAACGGTATCTCTACTACTGAAGTATAAATTCTAAAGTCTGACTAATAAAACATATTTAACTGTTTCTCTCCTCCAGCTAATAGCCCATGAACTAAGCCTATTCAACTTTTTTTTTTTATTGGTAATACATACCAGTTTTGAAAAATCTTATGATGAAAACTTTTTTGACCATGCCAACAGGACAAGGGAGAGTTCTGTCAATTTTTAAAAGCATAGTGTCTTATTTTAATCATGCTACATAAAGCTTTCTTATTCTCTTCAGCTTCAAGGCTCCAACTGTAACCAAGAAGTTGAAAGAAGCAGTGAATGAGGACCAATACCCAGAATACTACCGAAAAAAATCGGATTATATTAAAGGCAGCAACCAGAATGCCCCTGAGCCATATCGCATTGGCCAAATCAAAGAAATTTTCTGTCACAAACAAAGTAAAAGAACAGATATCAAACTCAGAATTAACAAATTTTACAGGTAGGCAACAGCTACAAATCTTAATTTCTCCAATTTTAAACAGATTTTATTCTATGGGACAAGAATTGCGTTTCTCCTTGTTTACAGTGTGGATAAAGTGCAACATTCATTTCTCTCCTTCTGCATACATTTTTCCAGTCTATTTCTTAACTTTTAACTTCATGTTAAAGTTAGGCTCTGTTCCTGGGGTGGAGGAGGCACTGTTCCAAGCCTCAGAGTTTTTTGGGCTGTTTTTTTCAAAGCTAGTTCTGGGGATCTATAAGTTTTCAGTTCTTCCAAAGTGGTATGATCTAAGGAGAGGTGTGGTCACTCCTCTCCTGGTCTGTGAGTGACCGCAAGCATTCTTTTCCACCTTGGAACTGTATTGCATTGCCCATAAGAGGTTCTGGGACAGAGTCCTGCACCCAGTGCCAGCAAAGGGTTCTCAGTAATCTCCTTCTGACCAGTTGTTCCCTTTACTATCTGGACTAAGAGCTCAGAAGTCACTGCTACTGATTCAGTGCCCCTCCCCCCAAGATCTGCTATTAGCTTGGCGGGAGTGTGGCCTTTGCTGGACTGGGCTTTCCACTCTCACGCCAGTGAGACAGATGTTTCCTGTTGACTTTCTAAGTTGTCTTGGGCTGGAAAATTGTTTCACACCATCTTTTTGTTGGTTCTGCCACTCCAGAATTTGTTTTGTGGCATTATTTTAAAGTTGTTTAATGGGGAATTTGGGAGAGCTCAGGTGAGTCTCTGCATTTATTTCCCCATCTTGGCTCTGCCCTAAATGTTACTTCTAAACTACTACTGCCTTGGCTACAAATATGAGTCCTTCAATTTTTGGAAAACTGTGTGGAATGCTCTTCTGGAGTGTTTAGTTGACCTTTTCAATGGTGGGTCCAGAAGAAGCCCCTCCAGATGAGGTTGCCCCACCCCTGGGGAACCCACCAGGCATGTCTACTGGCATGCCCCCTGTACTCTGTTGCAGCTTAGTAATGTGGGGTTGTAGACTTTCTCCAATTCTTTCTGCTGATGCTCAGATTCTTCTCTTAGCAACCTGGTTCTCATCCAGCTAGCTGATTATTTCGTTACGTTTGTCAAGGATCTTCTGTTTGTCTTCATCACCAATTTTGCCTTGGAGTTTCTCATATTCTATGGTAGCTTTCATGTTGAAAGCATAAGATTCAAGATAATTCTTAGATACCTTGTCTCTCTACTTCTCATTGTCAGCCTTGTATTTCTCAGCCTCCTGAACTATAGGCTCAGTGTCTTCTTTGCTCAGACGACCTTTGACATTGTGATGGTGATCTCATTCTCCTTGCCTGTGCTCTTATCGACAGCAGAAACATTGAGGATGCCGTTTACATCAATGCCAAATGTTACCTCAATCTGAGGAATACCCTTGGGTGCTGGGGGGTATTCCTGTGAGCTCAAACTTGCCTAGAGGGTTGCTCTCCTTTGTCATTGCTCTTTTACCTTCAAATTTTTTTTTTTTTGGTTAGGCAAAATAGGGTTAAGTGACTTGCCCAGGGTCACACAGCTAGTGTTGTGTGTCTGAGGCCGGATGTGCACTCTCGTCCTCTTGAATCCAGGGCTGGTGCTTTATCCACTTTGCCACCTAGCAGCCCTCCTTTCACCTTCATAAACCTGAATAAGTATACCAGGCTGGTTGTCTGGTTAGGTGATAAAGGTCTGTGTCTGCTTGGTGGGGATGGTGGTATCACATTTGATCAGAACAGTTTTCTTTTATTTTAAAATCTAAAATAATTTCAACAGGTAACTTAAAACAGTCCTGCTTGTGTTTTCTTCTGTGCACTTAAAAAAAAAAAAAAAAAGGCTTCAGTGACCTTCCTGCTTTTTTTTTCTTTTTTTGGTTATTTTTGCCTTCCCCTCTCCCTCTTACCCCCCCCTTTCGATGGGGAAGTCGGGGAGAAAGCTAATCTTTAATACATATGCACAGTTGAGCAAAACAAATAACCACACTGGATGTGTCAAACATTTTTTCTTATTTTGCACCTTGAGTCCATCACTTCTTTCAGAAAGTGAGTACTGTACTTTATTATCTGTCCTGTAGAATTACCCAATGAATGTAAAGACAACAGATCCTTCTTGGTGTCTCTTCAGGGTCAACCTTAAGCAAAATTTGAAGTTGACAGTACTTTTCCGCTGGTCTTCATCTTTTTTAAAAACGACAAAATACAATCAGGGTCTAGTATCTTCAAGCTTTCTACAATTAACCACTCGGAGATACTTATTGTAATATCTAACTAGGCCCCTGACTTCAGGGCCTCTCATTACTTGCCTTCATTCCCTGTTTTGGTTTCACATGTGTGTACACAATCCTACCTCTTGCCACATACATCCCGTTTCATGGGGGTTCTAATTACTGTCAGACTCACCAGGTAGCTAACACAAAGGATCCATGCTCATGGCTGAGAAGGGTAGCCCTTCCTAGGTAATATCCCTCCCTATTCAATGGTGCATCCTGAAATGAATTTCTTCCAAGAGACAAATGGTGGGTAAGGGGTTGAGCCCATAGGTGGGGCCAGTAGAGACTGGGGGCAGATTAGGTTTCATAGCATCATTTCCCCCCCCCCCCCAGATATACAAAATAATATATTGGAGCTGTCTACTTTCTCTAGCAGTATCTTACAATAAGACTTCATCTTTACAGACCAGAGAATATCCATGAATGTAGGATGAACAAGTTTTGGGAGGATATCAACCTATTATACTGGAGTGATGAAGAAGTTGTTGTGAATTTTAAAGACGTGCAAGGCCGCTGTGTTGTGAAGTATTTGGAAACGATGACAGAACCTACTGAGAAATACTCTCTTGGTGACCCGGAACACTTTTATTTCCAAGAGGTGATCCTTTCTGTAAATTAATGACCTCCTTGAGGTCAAACTAGGTAACAAAAAGGTGATAGGAGGTGTAATTGAATGGTAGAAGTAGGATTTAAGATGAGCTTCTCCACTGAAACTTTCAGGTGACTAGGTGATCCAGTAGAGAGAACACTGGGCCTGGAGCTGGGAAGACCCGAGTTCAAATTTGGCCGTGGACACTTTGAGTGACCTTGGACAAATCCTTTAAAAACCTGTTTGCCTTGGTTTCCTCAACTGTAAAATGAGGATAATAATATCTATCATCCCAAGGTTGTTGTGAGGACCAAATGAGATAATATTTGTAAAATGCTAAGCATAGTGCCTGGCACATAGTAGGTACTTTAATAAACTATCATTTCCTTAATTTCATCGAACGGACTAAACTCTATAAAACCATTGAGGCATTTATATAAAAGAATGCTACCTTTCAAGGTGGGAGATGTTTCACGTATCTACCCCTTCAAAGGCCTCTCTAGGAGAATATTCCAGGGTAATTAGCATATCCTTGGTCCTGGTTCTAATCTGCTTTTTTTTTTTTCTTAATTGACTTGGATAAAGGCATAGATGGCAGGTGTAGCCAACCAAGAGGCTACACTTGCCATTTCACCCAAATTTGTGTGTTCTCCAGAGTTGATAGTAATGTCAGCTGAATCAGATTTAATTTAACAAGGAACAAGTTCAAATGTGGAACTTTATTTTTTAGTCCAAGTGTATAAGATAGGGGAGTCATAAGTAAGACAAATTCTTGTGGGGGAAAAACCTGTGGTTTACAGTAGATTATAATCCTGAGATTTCAAGGATGAAATACGAGATCCAAGAAGCTAGCTTGAGCTTCAGCTACATTGAAAGAGCCTCCATTCAGGCCAAGAGAGGCAATGGGGTAGTTATAATTGGTTGTGGTCAGACCCCATCCATCCCTTTCATTTCCAGGACTCTTCTCTTAAGGACCGTGACAAACTGGTGCTAGTCTAGGTAGAAGAGGGTCGGGAGGCAAAAAGATGGAGCATTTGACAGGCTAATACTTAGAAAGCAATATTAGATTGCCTCTACTTGGTCTCAGGGGGCAGAATGCAGACCAACAGAGGAAAGTTGCAAAGAGATAGAAAGCTTCTATCTAGCCCAAATCTATAGAAGCTACTTGATACAGTAGATACAGAATTGGATGAGGAGTCAGGCACACACCTGTGTTCAAATCTGCTCTCAGATACTCATGAGCTGTGTGACTCTGGGCAAGTCACAACCTCTGCCTCAGTTTCTTTATTGATAAAATGGGGATAATAACATCTACCTCCCAGGGTTATTTTGAGGATAAAATGAGGATATTGGCAAAAGGCTTTGCAAACCTTAAAGTACTATACAATGTTAGTTGGCTACTAACCACTATCCCAAGGTAGACTGTCTAGGCCAGACCTACATAACTTGTTAATAGGTAGGGACCAAAATTAAAACAGGCTAAACTTCAGGCTGCAGATAGAGGTTTTTAGTGGCTCTTTCCAAGTAAAGTTGTAATTAATGATTAAACTATTTTGTAAATCAATCAATCATATTTTTAAAAGGAAATTTCAATTAATATCAACTAATTATACTTATGAATTTTTATTTATCACAAAATTTATATTAATATTAAAAAATTTACTTTGCTAAGCAGTACAAGTTTTAATATATTTTTCAGGTTCTCTTACTGGTTACATTTAGTAACGACTAAAAACACAGTGAAAAGATAAGACTCTCACTCCTCTCAGACTTGAGATGGCCTGACGATGGTTGCTTTGGGTCACCTGACAAACAGAGTGCACTGTGGCAACTCACTCGCTAAGTTACACGACGGGCACAACAGTGATTAGTGGAAGGAGGGTTAAGCCAGGCATGGACAAAGCACTCATTACATCTTTACTTTCTTTTATATCTTCCATGTTTTGAGGGACGTCTGAAATCCTTTGGGCCACAAGTTGTCTGCAGGTCTTGTTGTGGAGGCCGGTCTAGGCAGCATTGGGGGGATAGTTTTTCCCAGTCACTACTATGTCTTGAGACCTCTTGGCTATGTTTTAGAAGGGATTATTGGATAGGCTGGACAACAAGACTCCCTAATGAGGAGAGAATAGATCTTGGATCAGAGAAGTCCTGGGCTCTTCTAGTCTAATCTTATAGATGAGGAAAATGAAGTCTTGGAGAAATAAAATTATTTGACCAAGGTTTCAAAGCAATAAGCATCAGAGGCAGCATTTGTACTCGGGTCTCTGACTTTGTTTTTTGTTTTTGTTTTTCTCACTGTTTTACATAGCATTTAATGTTCCTTCCAAATCACCCTCACTTCAGACTTCTGTGAAGTGGTCTAGCTTTTATTTCTTGACATAGTTTTCCATTTTAGATAACTAATCTTAGCTTCTATCCTCTTAGGCCTATACTGCAAAAAGTAAAAGTTTTGAAGAAGTTCCAAGTTATGCCCGTGGTGATAAGGACAAAGGAAAAGGCAAAGGTAAAGGTTTGTTGTGTTTCTGTGGTTTCAAGGACTTGCCCACTTTTTTTATAGTCCAAATAAAACTTGAGGTCAATTGGGAATAAGTTCTTAAATCTCCTAAGGAACTTTCAGAAATAATTACTTTATTTCAGCAAATCCCTCCTTTTCTCTTATTCTATATATATTTTTTGACATTCCCTTTGAAATAGTAAGGCATTGGGAATTTCTAGGGCAAGTGGAATCCCTGTGTTTGGTGTGACTTTGGGGTTAGCAGTTGTGAACTAATAAGCAATGGGCTTCCCCAGGCAAAAGCAAGGGAAAATCTGTAGCAGTGGAGCCAAGTGAGCAGGAAACAACAGAAATAAAGCTGCCCAAGCTTCGCACCATGGATGTGTTCTCTGGCTGTGGAGGATTGTCTGAAGGCTTTCACCAAGCAGGTAAAGGCGGTAGGTTTTTGCCCCAGATGCTCTGGTTTGAGCCTTTCATTTTCCTGCAGGGCTCTTCTCTAAGAGCTCTGGAACTCTAAAGAGACTTATCTTGCTTTAAAAATGTGACATGCATAGCACATCTTCCTTAAACAAGATGATATTTTTTTCCTCCAGGAGTATTTGAAACACTGTGGGCCATTGAAATGTGGGAGCCTGCCGCCCAGGCATTCTGTCTGAATAATCCTGGGACCACTGTCTTCACAGAAGATTGTAATGTTCTCCTGAAGATGGTTATGTCTGGGGAGAAGACCAACTCCCTGGGCCAGAAGCTGCCTCAGAAAGGAGATGTAGAAATGTTGTGTGGTGGCCCACCCTGCCAAGGGTTTAGTGGCATGAATCGCTTCAACTCACGCACTTATTCCAAGTTCAAGAACTCCCTAGTTGTCTCCTTCCTCAGGTGAATGGCACTGGGGTATAATTTTTCCCTCATCTTAGCGTGTAGTCTTTGCTTGCTACTTACTGGGGGTGGCAAGCACAGGATATCTTCACGTTGAAAGTGAGGATATACTTACTCCAGAGCAGGAAGTCCCTTCTTCCTCTTATTAGAGCACAAGGATTCTGCCTTTCTACTTTCTGCATGGAAATTTGCTACAGAGGGACTTACCTTGGTTCTTTTGTAGGAGAACTCCATACTTATGGGTCATTGTATCACATAATCACTTCTAGAGAGTTCAGACAACTGGCTGGCTTGCCAGTAAGGCTCTCTATAGGACTCACTTTAACCTAAGAAATGGCCACATGAAGGGCTGTGGAGCTCAACAGCACTTCCCTCTTCCCCCATCCTCTCCCCATGTAAATCCTTTCAGAAGGAGGAAGAACTGATTTTTTTCCCCCAAGCATGCCTGTTCTGATACACTTGGTATTGGCTCCCTGTATAACCTCTTCTTGAGGTCCTCCCACTCTATTATCTCTACTTTCTATACCAATGTGGGGGAGTAGAGAAAGTTTGAAGTTCCTTTTGTTTGAAAGGATTTATCTATATTGAAATAAATTAGTTCATGAAGGTTTTAGTCTAGATCAAGGATTCCTAACTTGGGATTTGTGAACTTATTTTGAAAAACTTTAATAACTATATTTTCAATCATTGGTTTCCTATGTATCTTAATGTATATCTTTAAAACACTAATCTGAGAAGGAATCATAGGCTTTAAAAGGACAAAAAGGTCCATGACACAGAAAAGGTTAAGAAACTCTGGCCTAGGGGTAATGGTCACAGTTCCATAGGGCTCCTCTTCCAAATTCAAAAACTTGAAATATAGATTTATTAATAAAACTAAATCTCTGAAGTCCCAGGTAGTCATTGGATCACTGAAATAGAAACAACTTGTCTCTATCTAGTCAGATTCTGTACAGTCGATTATTCGCTGACTTTCTCCCCCTAAACATAGTCAGGATACAAAATTCTTATCTTTATCTAAGAAAAAAACCATAATTAAATACAAACAACTTGGAAAATCTTAGAAGGGCAGAGAAATACTTAATAAAAAACAAAACAAAACTGCCCATTTCATACGGCAATAAAACAGAAGGGAGAAGTAGGCAAATTCAACATTGTTCCAATGGATTCAAGTAAATGGAGTTCAGTAACTCCTAGCTGCTCTGAGTTAATAAGAGAGTGAGTTAGGGAAATGCAAAAAGCTGTAGCAGACACAAAACTCCCAGAAAGTCTGCTCTTGTGGTCTTCTGTCCCTATCACCGATTCTGACTCTCTCCCTCCAGCATCTCTCAACTTAAAACTGGCTCTACAACAAAAATGCCATCTTCTAAGCCCACAATAGTTTCATCTCAAGGCTGATGGGAAATAAAACCTACAACTCTCAGGGTCTTTAGCTACTTAGCCCCATTCCCTCCAGTCCAAGTCTTGTCTGAATGACTCTTAAGCTTTCTACAAAGAATCTTACTGGACATTTTCTTTCTCTTACAGCTACTGTGATTACTACAGACCTAGGTTTTTCCTACTAGAGAATGTAAGAAACTTTGTGTCATTCAGACGTTCCATGGTCCTGAAGCTGACCCTCCGATGTCTGATTCGAATGGGATACCAGTGTACATTTGGTGTATTACAGGTAGGCTCATGCTAAGATATGTGGGGGAGATAACCAAGGAATATGACACTTATGTTGTTGCGGTCTGAGAGGTTGAGACCCCTCAGACTGGTGTACAGGACGGGGTCATCTGGAATGAATTCACAGACTCAAGCATTCTTTAAATCAAGGTGGCAAAGATTTATTGTTACACTTTTCAGTGGGCAAGGATTCTTAAGGAAACTGTAAGACTGAGGATAGAGCTAGGGTTTATATGGAAAAGGGCATGGGAAAGGAATGCCAGGGACATTGAGGTAATCTAAAGTTCCAAGTGTCTTTGGGGGCTATGGATGAGAAAGTACAGGGAGTATGCTGGACAGGGAGGTAGATGACAGAGGTATGGATCTTTGGAGTCTGGCAGGAGGAAGAGTTCTTGGGCTGACCAAGGACATAACTCCTTGGGCTGGGCAAGGCACCCCTCTCCCTCTGTCTTGATGAGAGAATTCTCTGCAACAAGGGAAAGCTTTCTCACAAGACAGGAATTTACTAAGCAATTGGGAGGCTTCCAGAGACATGATCTGAGGGCTGGGGCCTGAGCAGCCCAGCACTCTCTCACCCAGCTTTGTGTAGCTGCACCAGGGAGAGAGATAAGGGTCATGCTGGGGCCCACCCATGAGTAATTGCTAGGCACAGTGTCCTTGGGCTGGGGAGTGGTTGTCAGAGACAGTGTTTCTGAGGCTAGGGAGAAATTGGGGTCCAAGTACAAGCACAAGCACCCAAGCACCCCAGCAGTGTCATTATCCCTGTTCTTCCAATGTTGAAGAAAAAAATAACCATAGTTATTTCCCCAAAATGGGCTAATTTAGATTTGGGAGCTGGGTTCAAACGTCGGCTCTGTTATTTGATACCTGTGACTTTGAGCAGTCACTTGATGTCTTAGGGCCTCCATTTCCTCATCTGGAAAATAAGGGGGTTGGTTTAGGTAACCACTGAGGGTCCTTCTAGTTCTAAATCTGTCCTCCTGAGTGTTGCTACATGTTCTTCTACTACATATATTTCTTATGCTTCCTCTCAATGGATTAGAATGAGCTAAAGTTTTGGCATTGGTTTAAAATAAGACTTGTCTCATATGACAAGACAAGACAAAACAAAACTGATATGGAAAAAAGTCCTCATCTCAATGAGTTGCCTGTCTTGGTAAACTAATCAACTTCTATCAACACATGAAGGTCACTTTTTTAGATCTTAAAACATCTCTAATGCCTTAGATGAAAGGTCCCATATCCATCCAGCAGGTTGGCTTTGCTTCTGACCCTCAGACTTTTTTCATGGTTGTTATATGGAACATGAGTATATTAATGGCAGCAGAGTTGGACTGTCTTGTGCTGTCTTAGGGAAACATTGAAGAGAAGGCGGAGGAAAGGAATGATAATTAAGCTCCCTGAAAATGAAAATAGTGAGGAGTGATTTTTTTTTTCCTTCAGTGTTAGATGTTGAAAGATTATAGTTAATCAAAGGAGATTAATCAAATGTGATATCAAATGAAATCAAATAATCAAATGAGTAGATATGTAAATTGCTTTGTAAACCTTAAAACACTATATAAATGCTAGCTATCATTATCGTCATCATCATCATCATCATCATCATTATTATTATTATTATTATTATCATTAGTAATAAGTAGATGACTTAGAATGATCTACTGTGGTCAGAAATTTTTAGCTTGGTATGACTTGAGATTTACTGTGACTACTAATCTTGGCAGAGTAAATTCAACAGTAACCTTTAAGACAAAGCAGCTGAAGGGCACCTAGGTGGTGCAGTGGATAGAGCACTGGCCCTGGATTTAGGAGTTCCTGAGTTCAAATCTGACCTCAGACACAACACTTACTTGTGACCCTGGGCAAGTCACTTAACCCCATTGCCTAGCCCAAAAAAAAAAAAAAAAAAAAAAAAGACTAAACAGCTGAACTTTTATCTACCTTTTTGCTTGTCTTTAAAAAATACTATTTGTTACATTGTATGACTCTTTGAGAGGGATAGGGATAATGGGGGAACTTACGGTAATGAAATCCCCTCCCACATATTAATAAGCTTTTTTTAAAACTACACAGCTGCCTTTTTTTTTTTTTTTTATAAAGGTCACAAAATCTTAAGGTAGTCTCATGCTCCCAATAACTAAGTTCTGACCACAGGGGACTGAATCAAAAGGGCAATTTTTTCCTTTATGGCTCATGTCTTGGTCTCTACTGACACGGGCAACAGGGTTCTCAACTCCTCCTATACAAACTTTTGGGGGAGCAAATGTGTAATGAAGACAAACCTTGTCACCCTCTAGCAAATACAGAAGGCACAAGACTTAAGGGACTTGTAGGTAGATAAAGAACACGTACCAAATATTCCCAGAAAAGGGTAAACCCTCCTCAGAAGGAAACTGAATTCACAGTGGCCACCAGGGCAGCATCGTCATTCTAATAGAAGCCTCCTCCCCATCAGATTATCTTGGAGGCAGCCCCACTTTCTGAAACCCATTCCCAAGGAGACACTGAGGGGGCCAATCCAAATAAATGAATACACCTTTGTGTTGCCTTGTTTGTCATAACTGGCAGTTTTCTTACCTTTTAAGGTATCAATGGGCACATCTGTGCCCTAATTTCATGTAAGAAAGATTCTTTTGTCAAGAACTAATTTTTGGTTCCTGAATAAACATTTTCCTAGACACACATCTTTAGTTTTCCTACTCAACAGGTATTTCTAGAACCCAGAAATACAGGTGGCTTATTTTTATGATGAGAGAGAGTCTAGGCTTGTGAATTAAGAATGGGGAATTTCCTGAACAGAAGCTTGCTATACCTACACAGACATGCAACTCATCAGTAATTAAGTCGAGGGCAAGACTTGAAGCCAGATCCCCCATTAATTTCCTGTATCCTATTATTCACTGCTAACTTTTACATCTTAATATTTCTTATTTGACTAACTTGGTAGAAATGGTGTGTTTCTTTGTTTTCTGTGCCTAGGCTGGCCAGTATGGCATTGCTCAGACGAGAAGAAGGGCCATCATCCTAGCTGCAGCCCCAGGCGAGAAACTCCCCAAGTTTCCAGAACCCCTGCATGTTTTCACAACCAGAGCCTGCCAGCTCGCTGCAGTGGTGGATGGCAAGAGATTTGTCAGCAACATAAAGAGGTAAAGGCATTCAGAACTAATAACTCTTCCCCCTAAGAACCAATTTCCCAAAGCAAGTGTGACAAATTCTACAAGTTAGAGCCTGTTCAAGGTCTACAGATGGGGATAGGGCAGGCTGGAGGTCACAGACAGCAAAAAAAGAAGAAAGGAGTCTGGGGTGGGGGAGCAGAGAAGTGTAGAAAGCACCTAAAAGCTTCCATGCACATCACAGAAGTAGACTTTCCTTGTCCTCGACTTAGCTTGGACGGGTCTGATTTGGGAGCATTTGTTTTAAATTCTTAGTTGAAGTATTGGCAAGAGAAGGAAAAAGAGTCTAGTCTGAATGTCTACAAAAGCAGCATCCTTCATGTGTAATGATTTTAGGGCAGCTAGATGGTACAGCAGATAGAATGCTAGATTTGGAATTGGGATTCAGACACTTAGTATCTTTGTGACCCTGGATAAGTCTGTTTGCCTCAGTTTCTTCATCTGAAATAGGGATAATAATGTCTACCTTCTAGGATTATTGTGAAGATCGTATGAGATATTAGCACAGTGCCTTGGCACATAGTAGGGGCTATATAAACACGAATTATTGTTATTGCTACTTGGCACATATCAAATCAACAAATCTTTGCTAAATGCCAGGTCTGTGCCAGCCACTGTGCTAAGCATTGGGGATGCAAAAAGAAACAAAAGACAGTCCCTACCCTCAGGGAGTTTACAGTCTAAAGCAGAATAAAGTGTGTAAGGTAGCTGCCTTTTGTTTCAGGCTGAATGCTGCTCCATTTCGAACGATGACTGTCTTTGACACAATGTCGGACCTTCCAAATATCAAGAATGGTGCCTCAGAAGAAGAGATTCCTTACAAGGGGGAGCCCAAATGTTGGTTCCAGAGACAGTTAAGGGGCTCAAAAGATCAACATATCCTCAGGGACCATGTCTGTAAGGTAATGCTGCTATGGGAATCTTTTCATGTGGTCTCACAACCTGGGTTAGTGGTTATTCTTCAACTACATCCTCAATGTACTTCAAAGATGACTGGCTTACAAGGCCACCTAGTAGCACAATCAATAATCCTCTAATCTAAACCATACTTACAAAAGTAACCCCTAGAACAGGGATTCTTAACCTGGATAGATTTCGGGAGATCCCTGAACTTGGATGGGGGAAAAATGGCATCTTTATTTCAATAGAATTTATTTTCTTTAATCCTATATATTTTATTCTACACATTAAAAAAATTTTGAGAAGGAGTCAACTTCACCAGACTGGCTGCCAAAGAGATCCTTGACACAAATGTGAAAAAGCCCTGGACTGGAGTGACACCAGAAAGCAAAGTCTTAAGTTCTAAAATGCTTTTCAGAATTGTGTCCAATAAAGTCAGAATAGATCCTTCTGGGGCCTGGCTGGGAAGGGTTTGGGGGGGAATAATCGAAGGGCTAACCTTGACTTTGGTTGCAGGAAATGAATGCTTTGGTGAGTGCTCGAATAAAACTGATTCCTCTGACCCCAGGGTCAGACTGGCGAGACCTTCCTAACATCCAGGTACACATCTCAGATGGCTCTGTGACCAAGAAACTCCGCTATAATCATAATGATAAGAAGAATGGACGTAGCAGTACTGGAGCCTTTAGAGGGGTCTGCGCCTGTGCGAAAGGTAGGGGTGTGTGTGTGTGTGTGTGTGTGTGTGTGTGTGTGTGTGTGTTCTCTCCTGACACTATCTCAACAGGAATCAGTTTATGCCCAATTCTTCATTGATTCTAAACCATCTTCATTTTGCTATGCTGCTCTGAGATCACTGAGGGAAGGGAACAAAATGTTTTCTAGCAGTTGAGTGTCTTCCTACCTTAATAGTTTTCACACTGTATTAAGTAAAATTAAGTAGCATTTTTTTTAAACCTTTATTTAAATTCCATTCTATGTGCCAGTTAGTGGGGGGTACAAAACCAAAATGGAAACTGTTCCTGCCCTCAATGAACTTACATTCTACTAGGAAAACAACATATGGAAGAGTTAATACAAAATTATTATAAACAGCCTAGTAACATGCCTGGAAGGAGGACTCTAACAACTAAAGCATCATGATAGGCTTTCAGTGGGAAGTAACACTTAAGATGAGTAATGGAGGAAGGAAGGAGTATATTCCAAGAATGGGGGATAGCCTTTGCAAAAGTATGGAGATCATGTACGGATACTAGCAAGGAGGTTAGACCTTAACTCTCATTTTATTCAACTGGATACCAAATAGCTAATTACTTCTTAATTTCAACCTGGCCCTTCTATTTAGGTAAACCTTGTGATCCTGCAGATAGACAGTTCAACACCTTGATTCCATGGTGCCTGCCCCACACTGGGAACAGGCACAACCATTGGGCTGGGCTCTATGGAAGGTTGGAATGGGATGGCTTCTTCAGCACTATGCTTACTGATCCTGAACCCATGGGCAATCAGGTAAGGGCATGTCAGTGGGAGAAAGTGGAATTCACCTATTTTCCTACCCTTGTGGAACCTAAAAATGTTGGTAGCCACTACTTACCATAGAGCTGCTCCACAAATGACCTTACATTTTGAGGCCCATTTGTCATTCCTAGGTGGCCATTCAGTTCAGGGCATTGTTTTCATTGCCATTTCTCTCCAAACACTTTCCAATGATCTATGTCCCAATGGAGATCCCAATCCCAGGACATGGTCTCCTAAGCTTTGTTGCAGTTAAGGATGATCCTGCTTTTTGGCCACTGTGTTACAGGAAGGAGACTTGTCGGTCTTATTTTTCTTTAGTGCAAGTTCATGCTTTCTAATGAAAGAAAAACTTGGGAGCTGATGGCATGGATTCTTGTGTCCACAGGGTCGAGTACTTCACCCAGAACAGCACCGAGTCGTGAGCGTACGGGAGTGTGCTCGGTCCCAGGGATTCCCAGATACCTACAGATTGGTTGGCAGTACTTTAGATAAACACAGACAGGTAAGTGTTAATTTCTATAGCTATTTGAATTGGATACGGAACATATTTCTGAGGCTAATTCTTCATTAGGAACTATCAGGCTTTACTTAGTACTATTGACACTTGAACAAAATGAAGTCTCTTCTTGCCAAGTGAATATCTGGTACAAATTGCATTTGGCTCTCCCACCAGAAGGCTTGAGGTGGCCTTGAGGCCTCTAAGAGCAAGACCCACTCAAAAGCAGACTGGGGAACGAAATGAGAATTCTACCTTGGGGTAGAATGGTACCCTGATTCAAATCCTCCAAGACCTGGTCAGACTGCTACTGTCCTCTGTGCTGAAAAGCCAAGGTGTTCACAGGGATCTTTCTAGGCACAGGACCCTATCACACAACACCAAATTCTATTCCCCCCCCACTTCCCATGCAGGTGGGTAATGCAGTGCCTCCACCCCTTGCCAAAGCCATAGGCCTGGAGATCAAGCTCTGTGTGTTGGCCAAACTGAAAGAGAATGCCGCAGGTAGGTGTCAATGTGGCTAGAGGACTTTCTGGTGTGTGAAATGGATTGTGTGCAACTATATTATAGGGGTAGTATGTGGTAGCTCAGCTCTCCCCTTTTCCTCTCCTCATTGGTCACTGAGTCTAAGCAGACTATAGGTCATAGAAGCGAAATCACCTGAGAGCCCCTCTTCTGGATGGGCTTCTGTGTGTGTGTGTGTGTGTGTGTGTGTGTGTGTGTTCCATTACCAACTTGTTGCTGTCTATTAACAATCCTATTAAACATATGGAAATGTTATTTAACCCAAAATATTTAAACTGTCCCATTTGACAGTCATAATACTATGCTGTTTCTTTCTATTCAAACTTAAACTTGTTTTTAATTTGTTTCTTTTCAGTTAAAATCGAAGAGGTATGAGAGACAGAGCTGTAGTCGACTACTGTTCTTAATGAGCCAATCTTTTTATTCCATTGTACTCATGAAGTACCTCCTCTGCTGACAATCAGTTGTTTTTAATGATCAAGCTATTAAATTATGAAACTGTAAAGTGCCTATTATATAGCCTAGATTTTAAAACTATTTTAATTATATATTAAATGTAACTTCTAGTGACTGAAATATTTTTGCAGCTTTTATATACATTATAATAAATCTTTTTTTAAATGATCAAGTATCTCTTCTGACTCTTATGTAACTCAAAACTATTTCTGAAATTGTGCCAGTTTCTCTCTGGCACATTAGGACTTCTGACTAGGCACCTTGCCACAACTTAATGTTTTCAGCTGGAGAATGAAGTCTCCCTGTAAGAGGCATCTTCTACTACGAAAAAGCAACAAGATTTCTTGGTCAAAGGAAGGAGAGCTGTTTCGAGTTCTAAAGTGAAGAGCCAAAGGCCTGGCCAGGATGGCAGTTATGTAACTCTAGAGCTCTAAAAGCCCTGCTAAAACAATAGGGCTCGGGCACTATATCAATACTACTGTGTTCAGGGACTGCCATTATGCTCACTAGGGTTTTTCCTTGTTTGAGATAATAGGATTTGGGGCAACTAGGTGGCACAGTGGATGGAGCATCATCCCTGGAGTCAGGAGCACCCAAGTTCAAATCTAGCCTCAGACCAGACACTTGATGTTTACTAGTTGTGTGACCCTGGGCAAGTCACTTAACCCCAATTGCCTTGCCAAAAAAAAAAAAAAAAAAGGAGGGGAAGAAAGCTCATAGGATTTTGAGCTGTAAGGAAACTTCCAATGGTCTGCTCCAAGACCCTCGTTTTACGGATGATGGAACTAGTAGGAGGATGAGTTTAAGCAACTTACTGTTGTAAGTAAGGTGTTACAGGCTACAGCACTTATGATTTGTTTCATAGGTTCAGAGCCATACCAACAAAGACATGTTTATACTCTCCTAGATTATAAGTGATTTAAAAATGATGATCATAAATATACATGCACATAAATGTGATTACATATGATTATACAATCTTAGAAACAAAGACTATTAACAGAAAGAGAGATAAAGAAGAAATACATCACCAATCCAAGGAAGCACCAACTCCTGAATGTCTGGCTGGGGGAGTCCTGTATCACAGCCGTCAGGGTCTTGGTTGGGAAAGTCCCCATGGCATAGCCTCCTCTCCGAGGGAGACTCCCCAAGTCACTTTCCCAAGAAAGACCCTTTTTATCCTTACACAAAGAAGGCAGGGAGCCAAGGAACAGGTGATTGATCTTAAGGACCTGAGAGTTTTGGCTGAAACTCTCCAACCTCAAGAACAATCTTTGTCAAAAATGTCTCTGGTCAATACCCAGGACCTGGCCAAGTCCCTGGATGTTAACCTCAAGACCTGTTTCTAAGGAATAGTTCCCCAAGGTGGGTCTGGGTTGGAACAAATCCCAGAACAATACATTAGGAAAGTTCCTTGTCCCTTGGTTTGGGGTGCGGGTAGGGAAGATCTTATACTTTAACACTTCAGCAAGTTGCTTGACAAGTGTCAGATCCAGAATCTAAACCTCAGATCTTTTTTACTACCTAACCAGTACTGTTTTTACTACATCCATTGCATTCTGTAGGTTTAGAGGCAGCTAGGTGGTACAATGAATAAAATACTGGGCGTGGAGCCAGGAAGTCTAGAGTTCAAATCTAGCCTCAGACACTTGCTAGTTATGTGACCCTGGACAAGTCACTTGACCTGCTCGCCTTGGTTTCCTCAACTGTAAAATAGGGATAGTAGCACCTTTCTTCCTCCCAAGGTTGTTATGAGGATCAAATGAGATTGTGATTGATTATGCCAGTGCCTGGCACATGGTAGGAACTTACCAAATTATTTTCTTCCTTCAAGTTCACAGCTTCTATACCAGCTGAACCCCTCTTTCATCTTTCAAAATGTAGTAAACACACTACATTCCTTCTCTCTGACTCCTACCCATCCCTTTCTTTTACTATTGCAGAAACATGGTTCCCCCCAAAAAATGTCTGTTTCCTGTCTGGGGGAAATCAGGAGTGGGTGTGAGACTGCTCCCTGAAGGGGAGAGAGTGGCAATCGGTTTAACTAGTGTGTAGAGAGTAAAGCGTTCCTCTTTTGCCTTTAGCTTTTCTATAAAGCCTGATACTTTGGACACGGATCTGATACTTCCTCTCCTCTCTGGGGTTTATTGGCTAGATTTCTTTCTCAAAGTCATGCTTTAAACCCAACTCACTCTGGAGCTCATGGACTGGACAACAATAGGTCCCTGCGAAAGCACCACTTTGTGGTTATTTTTTTTTTTTGGGCCCTCTCAGCTCAGAGTAAATGCATATAGTAACTTTCACTTTTGGCCAGCAACCCTGAGGGTCTTCACCACCCAGTTTGATTTTTTTTTTATTAAATGGGCCATTCTTGACTCATTTCTTTTTTTTAAATTAATTTTGAATTATCAACAATAGCTTCCACAAGCTTTTGAGTTTTAAATTTTTCTTCCCCTCCCTCCTCACCTCCCTCCCCAAGACAAGGAGCAATCTGATATAGGCTACATATACATTCCTATTAAATATATTTTCACATTAGTGATGTTCTAAGTAAGAATTAGAACCCATAGGAGGAACCACCAGAAAGAGGAAACAAAACACAACAGAAGGAAAAAAAAAAAAGCAAATAGTATGCTTCGATCTGCATTCAAACTCCATATTCTTTCTTTGGATGTGGATAGTATTTTCCATCTTGAGACCTTTGGAGATGCCTTGACTCACTTCTTAAAGAGTGATGATCATAAATCTTAAAGATGATTCACTGAATGGGCATTACCTCACTCAAAGTGAGAACCTGAAAAGACGTTAGCTTAAAAGGGCCAGGGTCTCCCACGGCATCCTGGGCCACCTCCAGTCATCCTGACTGATATCTGGCCGCTGGACCCGGACGGCTACGGAGGAGAGAGTGAAGCAGGTGACCTTGCACAGCCCTGCCTCACTCAAATCAAAGTCAATTGCAAGTCATGTCATCATCTCCCAGATGTCATGGTCCTCTTCGAGAACAAAGGACAAACACAAGATACTTTGGAGCACTAAGTCTGTTCCCATTGGTAGGGGAAAGAAACGGGGGATGGGGGGGGGGGGGGGGCGGGGAGAGAAGGGGAATACAGAAGGCTGAGTCGGGGCAGAGAAGGGGTTGGGAGGAGCGAAGCTCCTGCCTGCGCCAGGCAGCCTCCTCCACTAGGAGGCGCTGTGACTACGGAAGCGCCGAGAGGCGCCCCAGCCGAGGAGGCGGAAGTGGATAGTAGAATCCATTTCCGCTTCCTGTCTTTGGCCCGGGCTCAGGCTGCGTGGAAGATCCCGGACGATGCCGACTGGAGACTTTGAGTGAGGAAGCTGGGGCCGGGTCGGGGGGCCGGGGTCCCAGGCGCCGAGGCTGGGGGCGGGAGGGCGGAGGGGACCCCCCAGGCCGAGGCCGAGGCTGGGGGCGGGAGCGGGAGCGGGGAGCTGACGGTGTTCCCGGCGCCTGGGCCGGAGCCGAGGCCTGGACAGCAGCCTGGAGCGGGCAAAGCAGGCAGGTGGGGCAGGGGCGAAGGGATCCCAGAGCGCCGGGCCTTGGGCCTCCCTGAAAGGCTCTTTCCTCCTGCAGCTCGAAGCCCAGCTGGGCCGACCAGGTAGAAGAAGAAGGAGACGATGGTGAGTCTGGTCCAGCTGACCAAAAGCCGCCTCACCACCCCTCCCCCCGCTCCCTCTGGCCTGGCGTTTCCCTTCCTCCTCCTTCCCTTCAGCCTTCCTCTAGGATCTAGCCTGATCTCTGCCCCTTCCCCACAGACAAGTGTGTCACCAGTGAGCTCCTCAAGGGGATTCCACTGGCCACAGGAGAGCCCAGCAATGAGCCAGAGCTACTACCGGGTGGTGAGTACCCCAACTCTGTGTGTGTGTGTGTGTGTGTGTGTGTGTGTGTCTGTGTCTGTGTCTGTGTCTGTGTCTGTGTGTCTGTGTGTCTGTGTGTCTGTGTGTCTGTGTCTGCTCACTCCCTGGAGGGAGGGTAGGCTTTTGTTATGATCTGGATCTCCCATCTATTCTTTTCCTTGGCTGCTTCCTCCCCAGCTCCTCTACCTGCCCCCAAGGAAGTCATCAACGGGAATATTAAAACCATCACTGAATATAAGGTAGAAGAAGACGGCAAGAGGTTCAAGGTAGGCTGTGCTGATTTCTGGATCCCTTCCCACCTTTTTCTTGTCTGACCTTTGCGTCAGACAGGTTTGGGGGCCCCATGAATGAAAAAAAATTGTTGAATGTACTAAACACTGAAGATACAAGTACAACAGAGATACATTTGTTGTTCTCTAGATGCTCCTAATATGGATGGGAGACCACATATATAGGCCAGTGGTAGCATATATGACTTTATAAAGGAGTGTTTTGGTCAGAGAAGTTACAGGATTGGTGTTTGAAATCATTGGAGAGTTAATGACACATTTTCCAGTAGCAATGGAAGTATTGATTTGATTATCCTACCTAAAAGAAGAAGTAGATGTGGGGTTTACTCACTAACCCACTAAATGGATCCTTCCCCAATCCCTCTCTTTTCTTGTCCATTTTACAGATTGTCCGTACCTTCAGGATTGAAACTCGGAAGGCATCTAAGGCTGTTGCAAGAAGAAAGGTGAGAACCATTTTGGGGTTAGATAATGTATCTTCTTTCCATATCTTTTTCTTCAAGGCCCTCCTTGATGTTCTCTTGTTCTCTTGCATTAGTTCATCATGGAGGACAGCCTGAAACAGTGGAAGGAGTGCTAGACTTGGAGTCAGGAGAGACCTAGGTTCTAATTCTGACCCTGACACATAGAACAGCTATGCATTCCTGGGCAAGTCAATTAACTTTTTTGGACTTTAGTTTCTTCATCTTTAAAATGAATATAATAAAGCTCCACCTGACATACAGAACTTTGAGAAAAGTTCTTTGCAAACCTTAAAAATCTATATAAATGTGAGCAGTTGGACCTAATGATTTTACACATATTCTTTTTTTGGGGGGGGGGCGGCCTAGGCAATGGGGTTAAGTGACTTGCCCAGGGTTACACAGCTAGTAAGTGTCAAGTGTCTGAGATCAAATTTGAACTCGAGTCTTCCTGATTCCAGGGCTGGTGCTCTATCCACTGTGTCAGCTAGCTGCCCCTACATGTACTCTTAAACCAGGAAGAGTGAGGAGTCTTACAGCTTTATTGGTGTTTCTGAGCCATGTATTTACTTGGAAAGGATGTTTTCTTGGAATTGGGAAAAGTTTGGGAACCAAGAACTAAATAAGTGAGGGAATAAATGAATAAATAGGAGGAATAGACATCAGAATGGATTCAGAATATGAATATTTTTCCAGTCTGGAAAGATGAGAGCTATGAGGAGGCTGGGTCCCAGGCTAAAATATTTGGGGATGGGAAAACATAAAAGCAGGCAGACTTAGAAGACAAGGATGGCCCACGATAGGGATAATTTTGTAAACTCACTGCCTTAAAAGTGAGTATTGAATTCAGTTCAGGTCAACATATTTTTACTGATTACTTCTCCCTAAGCCAACAAGCTAATTGGTAACATACCTCCTTATTTGTTCCTTTAATGTTTTAAGATTAATAAAGTACTTTGTTCACTTTGCTTTCCATCCATTTGAAAAGGCTGTTTTGTTGAGGAAGGATTAGACTTGATTTTCTGCAAGGAGGGGAGGGAAGTGGCAGAAAGGACAATCTTGGTTCCATTTGAACTGCTCCACATGGTCTGCCACAGGAGGTCAGGAGTTTTTCATGACTGGAAATGGGTGACAGTTTAGGGATGTAGTAGGGAAAAGTTTTGTTACATTCCAGAAGTACATTCCTCTTGATGGCTTTCTACTTCTTAAACTTCCCTGGGGAAGCTTCACAAAAACCCCAATATGTTGGGTTATCCAGCCAACCTGCCTTATGTTGTTCTAACCCAATGACTTCCCATCCACAGAACTGGAAGAAATTTGGCAACTCACAGTTTGATCCCCCTGGCCCAAATGTGGCCACCACTACAGTCAGTGATGATGTTTCTATGACATTTATTACCAGCAAAGAGGTAATTCATGGGTACAGGATCTGGGAAAGAGGTCCTATGGGTGGGTTAGAAGCAGTCCCCTCAGGGCAAAACATTTCCAATCTAAAGCTTACCTCCCCTCTCCCAAGGACCTGAATTGCCAAGAGGAAGAGGACCCAATGAACAAGCTGAAAGGGCAGAAGATTGTGTCATGTCGAATCTGCAAGGGTGACCACTGGACAACACGTTGTCCCTACAAAGATACACTGGGACCTATGCAGAAGGAACTGGCTGAACAGCTAGGGCTATCCACTGGGGAAAAGGAGAAGATGCCTGGAGGTTCGGAGGTGGCACTTGGGCTGGCAGGCATGTGGGAATGTCTCTTTAGGACTTTCCATTGTGACAGCTTATGTAACTTTGTGAATGTCACTGTTTTGGGGCCATAGAAGTTTGACTCTGGAGGGAATATGGCTGGGGGAAAGGGAAACTTCAACAAAATGGGAGTCTCCTTGGTGGGATTCAGGTAGAGGCAGCTTATCATGGCCCTTGAAACAGCTGGGTGGGAGATTCGGGGCAGGCTCTGGGCCATTCTCAGCCTATGTTTAACCCCACAGAGTTGGAGCCTGTGCAGGCAGCCCAGAGCAAGACAGGGAAATATGTACCCCCAAGTCTTCGAGATGGAGCCAGTCGCAGAGGGGAGTCTATGCAACCCAACAGGAGAGGTATGGAAGGGGCCCTGGGGGCAGGGTTGGGGTGGGCTGAGGTTAGACTGGAAGGTTACAAATGGTTATTAAGAACATAGAGTTTGTGGAGTCCTTTGCTTAGAGCCTAGGGGAAAGAAAGTGCCCTAGGCTGGGACATGATCCTGCTCTCTTGAGGCTTACAGCTTAGTAGGGGAATAAGATGCCAGTACAATGTTATTTAGCAATTGAATTAGTGAGTTACGAAGTAAATATCCTATGTGAGGTCTGAGAGAGCAGCTCATCTGACTGGGCTGTCAAGGAAAGCTTCCTCGAAGAATTGGCTTTTGACTTGGGTCTCCAAGATGAGCATAAATCAGTCTGATTGGCGGAAGGAGAGCACTACCAGCATAAAGAACAAAGTCTCGGTGCTTGGAGAGCACAGTGCCTGGTCAGGGTCAGTGTAGGCCAGCTCAGTTGGAGTAACATGAGAAAAGGTCAACAGTGTGGGCGTCACCTATTTCTAGAGTGCGTTTGATGACAGAGAAGTTTGAATTTGACTCAGTATTGAGCCATTGAAGAAAATTTTTGAGCAATGGATTGATTGATATAAATGTAATTTTGCTTAAGAAAATATAGGGTAGAGAAGAGCAGAGAAAGTGGAGGCAGGGAGCCCTGAGCACATTTGTAGAAAGATGAAAAGGAGCAAGTGACAAGGGAAGGATCAGAGATGCAAGAGAAAGGGAGATTCCTGTTGCGGCAAGGTCTTGGGGGAAGATGGGAGAGAAATGAGATCAAAGGCATGGGAAGAAGGCTCAGCTCAGGTCACTATTGGATGTTACCAATATTCTCTAAAGTAGAAGGCTATGTCATCTGCTGTTGGTCAGCAGAAGGTTGGGTATTTGAGGGCTGGAAGAGAGAAGAAAAGGCTTGAAACAATGAGATCTTGCAGGCAGTTGGTAAGGAATACTGTAAAAGGATTGTTGGGCTGCATCCACAGCTAAACCAGGGTTATGCATCATAAATCTCTAGTAAGTCAAATCAGCTTTAGACAGAGCTGGGGTTTCTGTCTTGGTTCTGCTTTATTGCTTCTCCCAGGGCTGGGGGTGGGGTGTGATGCTGTGGGACCGACAGCTGCCTTGTAATTATCCAGCGTTACTGCCTGTGTTGGGCTGGGCCTTTCTAAGCCGTACTCATGTTTGCTTGTCTCTTCCAGCGGATGACAATGCCACCATCCGGGTCACTAACCTGTCAGAAGACACTCGAGAAACTGACTTGCAGGAGCTGTTTCGACCATTTGGTTCCATCTCTAGAATCTACCTGGCCAAGGACAAGACCACTGGCCAGTCCAAGGTAGGGCCACTGACTGGGGGGTATATAAGAGGTATTTTCTGGGTGAAGGGAATGATAAGGGGATGGGGTGACTTACCTATAACCTAGAGATTGTGTTCTGGATGGCGGGAAAGCTAATGCATCTTTAATGCCTTCCCCAGGGCTTTGCCTTCATTAGCTTCCACCGGCGGGAGGATGCTGCTCGCGCCATTGCTGGCGTGTCAGGATTTGGCTATGACCATCTCATTCTCAATGTGGAATGGGCCAAGTAAGTTTCTCCCATTCCCCATCATCTATCTCTGCCCAGGATCCCTGGGCCCGGACCTAACTTTGGAGCTGGGCCCTCCATCCTGGATATTCTCATGAATGATTTCTGGGTTGTATTCCCCCTTATTAGGAAATCCTAACTGTCTCTTTGCCATTTCTGCAGACCTTCCACCAACTAAGGTTGCTCCGTCCACTTACTACACAGTTGCCTGCATTGGAAAAGGACCTGACTCTGAGGAAGGGGACTGGAATGGAAGCCCCTTACTGGCTGAGGGCAATAAACATTCACCCCTGCCCCCATGTCTCTTTTTTTTTTTAAATTCTTCTAAGTCTCAGGAACACATCTCAAACCAGCAGGAAGCCACGTGGTGCCTGTGGCTATCCACGATTGGCCCGGACTTGGGCTGAGAGCGTTGGCCAGGTGGCACCTGCACTTCCTGCTTGGGGCCCTCAATACGGGCCCTCAATACGGGCTCCCACCCCCATCCTGCCTTAGGGCACAAGTGGCCTTCTTGCTCCCTTAAGTCATTCAGAAGCCTTGTTTATTCAATGCCTTCTCCTTTAAACATTTTATTTACATCAACCGCCTCTTCATGAAGTGGTCATTTCACTTCATTCTCCCCATATTAGAACCCTCCCTAATCATAGAGAAGTGCTAACAAAAACAAGTTGGTCCACGTCTGAAAACACATTTTGTTCCACGCCTGTTGTCCACCTCAGCCAAGAGGAGGGAGGGAAGCGTGGCTCACCATCGGATCCCCGGACAGTAGATGGACAGACACACTGGTATCAATCAGGAAGATTTCCTTTAACATTATCGAGATCATTTTTGTTGGTTATTCTGATTTTACTTCCTTTGCATCAGTCATATCTGGCTCTCGTGACCATAGGCAAGTCACTTAATCTCGTTAGGTCTCGGGGTCGGCCTCTGTGACAGAAGTTGGGGAGGGAGGACGAGACTTGGCATCCCTGCCAGCTCCACGGCTGTAGTCTTAGGAAACAGTCTTCCCATATTTCTCTGAATTCTCCATGTTTGTCACTTGTTACAGATTCCATTATATCCATGCCCTGCTATTTGTTCATCCATTCCCCAGTTAATGGTAGCCACTTTCCTTTTAGTTCTTTGTGACTACAAAAAGTACTGTTGCAAATATTTTTGCAAAAATGTGAGCTTCCTCATTGTTTTTGACAACATACTTAATTATTTTTAGAATACTACTAGTGGCTCAAGATTCAAAGATAAGAGTTGACAGCTTTCACCATCCAGGGACTTATAGATTGAGAGGTGGAATAGAACCCGTGCAAGAAGGCATGTTGCAAGATCCAGGCAAAGGAGAAATGTTAAAGGAAAATTCGAGAATATTTTCAGCTTGGGGCTTGGGGAGGGGGGCGGTGTTGGGGATTAATTGCTGTGTGAATCTGGCACCTGAGCTGAGCCGTGAAGGAAGCTAAGGCTTTGGTTTCACAGATAAGTGAGTGTATTGTAAGCCTGACAAATGTGTGTGGGGGGTGGAGTAGGAGATGGCTGTCCAGTGTAAGGAACCCTTAGCAATAGTTTGAATGGAACTAGAAAGCTTAGAGTAGGGGGAATTAAGAGCAGGAAAGTTTTGGAGCCTTCCTAAGGAGTTTGTATCTTAGAGGCACTAGCCGCTGAAATTTTTGACTAGGGGAATGCTGGCAGGTATTGGCACTGTGTTGGCAAGCTGCTTAGGATGGATTGGAAAAGAGCCAGGTCTGGGGGACCAGTAAGCAAGGAGCAAGGGAACAGGAGAGTCAAAGGTCACTCGAGGTTTCCAACTTTGGTCCCTTAATTCTGCCATGGGTCTGGCACAGTGGTTTCAGAGAGAAGAGGAACACAAGGTCCTTTCTTGCCCTCCATCCCTGTCACCCCCCACTCTTTTCACTAAGTCATGGGCTCAATGCTCATCTCAGACAACTAAGTGTCCTAAGTCCCATTTGGCATGCTGCTTTGCATCCTGCTAGTGGTCAAGATTCAGTGGGGCTTATCTGCCTCAGGGACATCTCCCCACCCTTGGGTCCCCCACATAGTCTTGAGCATCGGAGGCTTGAGGCCACAGCTGTATAGAGCAATGGGTGGAAGCACATGGCCAGAGGCACGAGCCCCCTGCTTGCCTGGTAGCCCAGGTATAGACCAAGGTCCAGAGCGGCCACAGCCTGCGACTCGTTTGAGAAGCTGCTGCAGAGTTCCAGCCAGCGCTGGCGGGCCTGGACATTAAGGACATGCATGATGTGGTATGGGATGTAGGACATGGCGTAGAGGACCACCCCACCACCTACCAGCACTCCCACCTTGAGCTTCTCCGGCCTTGTTATATTGGGGTTGGTCAGGATGGCCTGGCCAATGGCACTGTAGGCCAGGAGAGTGAGCAGGAAGGGCAGGCCGCAGCCCAGCACCACCAGCACCAGGCTGTAGACCCAGTAGTCTGGCAGATGGTCATCTCCAGCTGTTCCCAGGCATTTAGTACAGCCCTCAGGCTGGTTCACATGGCAATGTGCCCCTGTGCCATTTTGGGGCAAGACAAGGTGGGAGAACTTGAAGGTGGGTGCTGCCAGGGCAGCCACGAGGCCCCAGCCAGCCAGGCTGATGGCCCAAGCATGCTTGGGTCGCACGTGGCCGTGGGCAAAGAAGGGGTGCACAATGCCCAGGTAGCGGTTGAGGCTTATGCAAGTGATGAAGAAAATGCTGCTGTAAAGGTTACAGTTGAAGAGGAAGCGCTCGAACAGACATGCAGCTGCCCCGAAGCTCCAGTGCTTGGGTGGATAGAAGTAAAAAACCAGGGGAGGCAGGGAGAAGGCATAGAACAGGTCGCTGACAGCCAGCTGGGCCGAGAAGATGATGGCTGGATGCCACGGGCGCTGCTCCCGGGTACTGAAGCGGTACAGGACCAGGCCATTGCCCCCCACAGCCACGAGGAACTCGACCACCAGCACCGGCCACAGGTATTCCTCCTGGTACTGGCTCAGGGTTTTGCCAGCTCTCGCCAACATCCCGGGCAAGCAGGTGCTATTAGATGCTTGGGTCATGGTGCCTGGAGGAAGGGGAGGCAGGCCTGAGTTGGCAGCTTCCTTCCCCAATTCCAGAGGACAGCAAACTGTAGTCCCCACCCCTTCCCATACAACCTCAAGAAGGGGTGTTGGAAGTCAGTATGAAGTAGTGAAGGTTGCACATAGGAATCAGAATGGCTTTTTTTGAATTTTGACTCTAACTGAATTTGTTTGAATCAAGTTTGAATTGACTCAGACTAACTGTGGGACCCTAGACTTCAATTTGCTCATCTGTAAAATGGGGATTCTGGATAGGCTGGTCTGCCAAGATCCCTTCCAGCTAATTATTTGCTTCAGCCCCTTCTTATCACACGGCAGACCCAGAACCTGCTTTCTACCAGTTACTCTGGCACATAGGGGATTCCTGCTCCATTCCTGGCCCTCCACCCAATCCCTGCTTTGCCCCATGTATTCTAGTTGGCAGTGGAGCCTGAACCCCATCTGCCTAAGGAAAGTACTTTTGCTCTGGTAGGAGCAGAATCACTGCTCTTGAGTGGAAATGACACGAGGCAACCCTGGCCCCCACCCCAATCCACCTTTTCAGTTCCCCATCCCCCTTCACCTGGCCTGGCCTTGCTCCTGGTTGGTAGCAGCTAGCTCTCCTCTGCTGCCTCAATCTCAGCTCCCAGGTTCTGCTACGGCCTCCCAGTCAGACGGCCGTATTTCTCACTCCCACCCCGGTAGCCCCTCCCTGAGCATACTTCCTTCCTCATTCTCTCACGCCCCCACCCCATAGCCCAATGAGAGTTCCTTAGGCAGACAGCAAAACCAGACTTTCTAGCTCCTCCCGCCCACCAGAAATAACGCCCAAGTGCAGCAATTGTGGACTCTTTTGCTTCTTTATTAGGGATGTAAAAGCACAAGCCATTACTTTTTATCATCTACATCCAGACTCCATGCCAGCCAAGACCACCTTCTGAGCCCTAACGTTTTCCAGGCAAGAGGCTGAGTAAGTGCGAACTGTCCGGGATTCTCCCACTCACCCTTGCTGATTCATAACTTTACCAGACAAAGCCCACTTCCCTTTAGTTGTTCAGTGTCCTTTGGGACATGAGCCAGGCTATTAAATACTTGCTCCCACAATAGCTCTGGGGGGCTCACACTGCAAACTGGGCTATCTCTCACTCAAGTGGCTTCATCCCTGGAGGCCAACTCTTTGAACTGCTCCCCTGTCCCCACAGTAGATCATTAACTATGATACAATCTGTGTCAGATGTTTCATGACAATCCTGAGTAAGGTGACTACCCTCCCGCACAAGCAAGACAAGACAGGAAACCAGACCTTACTTCACATGCCTGTGCCCATGCCACCCCCCCCTTCCTACCAGCCGAGGAGGCCTTACAGACTATATTTAGCATAGTAGGGGGGTGAAGGGCTGGGAAAAGGAAATGGTTTTCTTGTCCTTAGAAGCCACAGAAGAGAGAAAATGGGCAGTCAGTCCACCCTTCAGCTGATTCTCAGGTTCTGGCTGCTGCTGCTGCTGAGGACTTGCGGTGAGGCCTCCCAGAGGCCAAAGCTCTTCCTAGGGCTTGCCCACGAGGGAAGTGGCGAGCCGTGGCTCCTTTGGGCTGTTTGCCTTTGGCTGCTCGGAACCTCCCCTTTGGCTGCCGACCTCTGCCTTTCCCAGGTCTCTGGTCACCAGAGACTGGCTGTCCAGGGGACCTGTCGGGGCGTCTCCTCTTCACCTTCGGGAACATGTCTGGGGAGCAGTGTAGGGAGGAGAGAACCATCAGCAGGGTGGGCACGGGAGGCCTACAGGTGGAGGGCTGTACCACCCAAGATCACCCCTCTCCAACTCACCCTCATCTGGCTCTTCACCAACTGCTTGGCGAAAATACTCTGCCTCATCCTCTTCCTCGTCGGATATGTGGGCTCCACCATCAGGCTGCCCAGGGTCCTCTGCGTCACTGTCCCCATTCCCCTGATCCACTTGTGGGGCCTTTCCACGCTGCATACCCTCCAGGCTCCGTTTCCTGGCAGGGAAGAATCATGCTCATCATTTAGGCCATCAGCCTCAGGACACCCTTTCCTCCTGTGTCTGCTCCCCCCAGCCCCCACTAACCTGTGGGCCTCCCGCTGCTCCTTCTTCCGCTTGATGTCTCGCTCCTGCTTGCCTCGGCGCTCAGCCTTCAGCAGGAGTTTCTGCTCTCTGGTGGCAAGAGTGGCCTTCAGCTCCTCCTCAGACTTGTGCACTGCAGAGAGGGAATATGAGGAGGCCCTCTCTGAGCACTGCTGCTCCTCAAGGCTGTCCCCATCCCAACAAAGCCCTTCCCTTCCCTGTCTCACCTAAGCTGTGGTAGAGGACATTTCCATCCCCGATGCCCTCCTGGATCTTGATGAGCTGCATGGTCATCCTGGGGCCAATCTGGTGTGTTGAAAGAGATTGTGGGGATCTACCTCACAGCCACTTCCCCTCCATCCTCCCCAGTGAGCAGGGCCAGAGGCATCAGAACGTTTACTTTGAGTGATCATGGAGTCTCATGTCAGAGTTCTCATCACATACCGTGGCCCCCTCTGCCTGGCTGACTCGTCCCCTCCCCAGCTCTCACCTCAGTAAGCCGAACCGCACTCTGCTCTGCTTTCATGTTGCCACGGCCAGCGTAGGCTTGGGGCAGCTCAGTCACGTTGTGCTCCCCATCTGGCTCTGCCTCACTCTCTGACAGCCCTGCACCCCTGGGGAGACATGGGAATGAGCTGGGCTCACGGCAGTGAGAGCCTAAGATGGCAGCCCCCCCCCAACCCCCAGCTTCAGAGCCCAGCTCACATGGCAAGCAGCTCACTGACATCCTCCAAGCGGCTCATGTTGGGGAACTTCTCTTGTAAAAGCTTCTTCATGCCCCGACTGGCACCCACAGGAACAACCTTCAGGCTGCTGCAGGGATCAGAGCCTGGGGGTGAGGGGTTATGGAGGCCCCCAGGGGTTTCCCTCCTTCCTCTTCCTCCTCACCCTGGGGCTCAGAGCGTTTACTTGGACATAATCACAACGTCTCAGCAGAGATTTGATCATCATGGCTATCCAGGGCTGGGGGCTGTACGCATGCACGTCCCAGGCACGAGCCTACACACTCTACACACTATACACTCACATACTCACTAGTGTCGGAACTGGAGCTCCTGGGAGTCGGGGTCATAGCTGAGGAGAAGGCAACGCTTCACACAGTTCAGGTTCACCTGGCAGAGAGAAAGGAGCACTGGAGAGGCCCACGCAACGCAGCCCTGGCTTAGGCCATGATTTCAGCAGCTGTTATCTTATTGTAATATTTATGTATACTACCTGACAGAGATAAGATATACTGGTATACTATTACATACATTACCAAATATACATTTACATACATACAAATATTTTTATTTGCTGACACCACCAACCTTTTGGTCAGTGTTGTCAATGCTATCCTCATTTTATTGATAAATAAACTAGCTGAGACAGGTTTGTCAGTCACCTAGTGGCCTGAAACAGGATTTGAAGTCAGGTCTTCTTGACTCCAAGTCCAGCTTCCTCTAATGGCAGCATGTTTTTTTCAGGGACTCCAATGGGTCTAACCTTGTGCACATTGATGGATGGAAACATGTTCTGGAACACGGAGGCAGTGAGCTTCACATGAAGTCCATGTGGGCCAAAGCCGTTGAGTACCAAGAGTGGCGGGTGTGAGAACTGCTGCTCGTGCATCCGGTGGCGGCGCAGGGAGGAGACAACGTCCCGCACCAAGGAGTACTAGAGGTGGAGGGGGCAGGCTGACCTCGACTGCTGAGCCCTCAGCCTCCCCACCACATCATTTTGCTATTTGACCCCTCACCTTGGTGACCCGGAAGGTCAGAGTAGGGCCCCCAGGAAGCCGGATCAGCCTCTGAAGGAGAAAAGGGAGCAGGATCACAACTTCTGAAAAGTGGAGTGGCCAGGGCCTTTACTGGGTGAACCAAACATATCCCCTGGTTATGGGGGAATATAGGAAGGGATTAGCAGGAGACAGGGAAGCTCAGGCTCTTTTCTGGGACCAGGGCAAATAGAAGGGATCCTGGCTATATGGGAAGGAAGCATCACTCACAAACGTCACATTCTTCTCCGTTTTGCTGAAAATGAGGAAGTGAGAGACGCCAAGAGGGCCAGCCACAGCCACACAATCCTTAAGGGAATTCCGCCGGCGAACCTACAGTGGTGTGTAAAGTACAGAGTAGGAGTGATGTCAGAATCTGAAAGGGGGGGTGTCCTCCTATAGGACAAGTTATGAAAGATTGGAAAGAGAAGGTTTGGGAGCCAAGATCTTGAGCAAGTTCTGGGGAAATTAGTTGGGAGACCCAGGCATAATAAATTGCTGGGTGATGACTTATGATACAATTAAATTTGCCTTGAGACTTGCTAATCTGATTATGGTATGTGTATGTGGGGTAGCTAAAAATGCAAAAGATAGAAAACCACTCAAATACACCTATAATTCAGACAGATATCTGACATTTGCTAGAAAAGGGGTTGCAATAAAAGCCATGGCCTCAAATATACAAAGTCAGAGTAACAAATAGGGTGAACTAAAGACTTCAGGGGCCACCAAGTCTAATACTTTCACTTTACAGATAAGGAAACCAAGGCTCTGGAAGTGATCTGCCCACTCATACAGCCAGTAAATGTCAGAAGTAGTATTTGAACTCAGGTCCTCTTAATGGAAGGAGTTAAATTTGGCTTCACAAGTATTCCGACAGTTGGTGGGAATTTGACTTAAGACTAGAATGGAACCATGGGAGGATATACCTTATATTTTAAAAAAAGGAACAGATATAAGGGCTGGCCAGCAGAGTTTCCTATAGAAACCAATGTGAGAAAATGGAGAAACCCAAGGGTTCAGTGCCCGGTGGGGAGCCTGGTAATAAAATTCTGAAAAATTAGGTTGGCTGATCCTAGGCCCTTATCCAAAGCCCTTCCAGCCAAGAAAGTGCTGGCAGAGCTTTCACTCCCCCTCTCAATGCTACCTCCACACCAAGAGGCATCAGAAGCAGCAACATAGAAATAGGAGAGAATACACAAACCAGAGAGGGGAAGCATGTGTATATAGCATAGGGATGAAGCTCAACAGGATAAAAAACAAGTGATATTGCTAACTACAAATTCCTGATTTGCCTTACAGATAATTTTATTCCTCAATGTATGGAGAAATCCAGGAGGGGAACTGCTATTCTAGACCTAATTCTGATCCAGAAGCAGGAGCTAGTTGGCAAAGTATGACATAATGAAAAGTCCTGAGAAGAGAATATTCCACCACATTTTATAATTTAATATATAAGCCCATATGACCATGGGCAAATCACAACTTTTAGGTGTTCCAGGCAGCCCTCTAAGACTATAAGTCAGAAAAGAATTGCAGATTTGTATGTAGGTTTCTAAGATCCTCCTATAAATCTCTATGATCCTAAAGCAAGGAATTACAGGTCAAAATAAAAAAAGGGGGGGCGGATCCAGGAACAACACTGAAATTTACCCTGGAATCACAGAATCTCTGAGCTGGAATGGACTTCAGAAGCCACCTACTCCAAATCATACCCAATCTCCCCCAGTCCCTATCCAATCATAGTATTAAAGCAGGAAGGGATCTTGAAGACCACCTAGTTTGGACCACTCATCTGACAGCACGAAAACAAGGCACAGAGAGATTAAGTGATTTGTCCAAGGTCGCATAAAAGCATGGAGCTGGGGCTCCAAAGCCTCTTTCTCTGGTTCATGATGCTCTGAATTAGGCTAGGGGGAGAAGGTGGTAGTGGTGGCGGGTGTTCTGCTTGGCCCCTGGCCCAGCGGGAGGACCGGAACACCCGGCTGGATTTGTAGAGAGGCGCGTTAGATTTGATGTCATGCCCCACGCTGGGGGTCACGACCAAGAACAAGGCCGGGCCGGGCAGCACTGGACCAGCTCCCGGAGGGCGAGGGGCGCGCACCCACCTGCAGAGAGCTGGCCGTGTAGGGCTCCATGACCCGCCGCACGTCCAGGCTGAGCTGGCGGACCCCGGGGCCGGCGGGGCCGCGCGCAAACACGAAGGAATGTGGCGCGGTCGCATATGCCTCCTGCGCGCGGAGCTGGGCCGCCGCACGTGCGCGCTTCTGGTGCTGGCTCTGCGGGGGTCACAAGGGCGGAGAGTGAGAAAGCGAGCTCCCGCACGGCCCCGATCCTCAACAGCACCGCGCCCCTGGGTCCCCGCCCAGAACCCCTCACCCGGCGTCCAAACCGCGCCGCCACTCGCCCGGGATCGCACCTTCCCGTGCCGCCCCATGACGCCGCCACGAGCACAAGGTCCACTACGAGTACGAGATGAGCCGCACGCGCAGACAGCACGAAGAGCCTGCACGCGGGCTCCCCGGAAGCGTCGGGAGGAACTTCCGGGGCGGGACCAAGGGCAGGCGCAGAGAGGCGAAGAGCCAATCATTTTCTTCTGAGGGGGGAAATCGTCACCCACTACCTCCTCCTAGGAAACGCCACGAATGGCCCTGACCCTCCTCTTCCTTCTTTCCTTTCTCTTCCTTCTCCTCGTAGCAGCGCTTCCTGGCGGCTCGGCAGGTTGCGCATGCGCATTGCGACAGTCGTACGCGTTTCCCTTTCTCCCAGGCGCCATCGATTAATCGTTATGTTTTTATGAAACGGTATGCGAAGACCTATGCTAGGTACTGGGAATACAAAGAAACAGTCTCTGCCCTCCAGAAGCGTGCATTCTATCTAAGGAGACAATGTATTCACAATTAAGTATAAGTAACAATAATAGCTTTTTCTATAGCACTTGAAAGTTTGCAAAGGGCGTTCATGTTATCTCAGATGTGCACTACAACCCTGTGAAATCATTTCCCACCCGATTGCACTCCTACGGTCTTCATCATATTCTTCTGGAATCTCATCATGCTGCAAGTTGGCACACCCTCAAACTTCAAACTTCCTCTGTACCTCCTGCCTCTGGGGCTCCTCCTTCCATCTGATTGGAAACAGGGGAGTATGGACTGCAGCTCCTCCGAGATCCTCCATTTAGGGAGAGTCCCTGGGGCGGCAGTCGCAGCTGGCTGTACTCCTCTGACTTCATCATGTTGGCGCTTTTCACTTTTTTCTTTCCAGTGTTGTCTTCCTCTATTAGATTGTGAGCTCCTTGAAGGCAGGGATTGTCTTTTGCCTCTTTTTGTATTCCTAGTACTTAGCATAGTGCCTGGTACATAGTAGGCGCTTAATAAATGTTTATTGACAGACTGACTGAAGTGCTATTATCCCCATTTTACAAATAATGAAACTAAGGCAGATTAAGTAACTTGCCCAGGATCACACAACTGGTTAAGTGTTTGTGGCAGGACTGGTTTTATCTGACTCCGGGTACCCCTCTTTACCCCCTTCACCATCTACTTACAGTAAGTATATCCAAAATAAAAGATGATTTTGTGAGGGAGGCATTAGAAGCTGGGCAGATCAGGTAATGCTTCCCATAGGAAGCCTTTGATCCTGATCTTTTAAGAAAACTAAGGATTCCAAGAGGTATAAGTGAATATATTCCAGGTACTCTTGGACACCTTGTTCAAAAAGCCTAGAGAGAGAAGAGATGAGATGTCTTGCGTGAAGACAAGAAAGAAGGCCAGTATGGCTGTATGGTAGAATGATTGAAGTTAGTCAGCCAGTCCTTCAGTAGTATTTATTAAGCACCTACAGTGTGCTAGGCATTATGCTAAACTTGGGGAGACAAAGGTAAAATGCAGTCTTTGCTCTTAAAGAGTTCACAGTGTAATAGGCGAAGCAATATACAAACAGTTCTTCAATTCGGTAAACATTTATCAAGTACCTACTATGTGCTAAGCTGTTGCGTTACAAAAAGAGGCAAAAGACAGTCCCTGACCTCCGGGAGTTTACAATCTAAAGTGGGAGGGACAACATGCAAACAAATATATACAAAGCAAGCTACAGATACAAAAATAAAGAATAAAGAGTAGATAATTAACAGAAGGAAGAATATGGAATTAAGAGGGGTTTGCAAAATTTTACCGTGGGAGGTGGGATTTTAGTTGGGAACTACGTATAAACGATATAGATAGGGTAAATTGGAGTTATTAAGCGTCTCACGCTTTTATTACATAATGTTAGATATTTTAATTATTTGTATGTAATGGGGACCCAGTCTTTGGAGTATGCAAAGCATGTTCTCTGCCTGCTGGAATTCTTAGCAAAGCCTTGGTGAGCCTACTTCCAGAAACTCTTGGTAATGCCCAAGGGAGCATTCTGTTTGCCATTTCATAGCATGAACGGGTGTGCTTTGACTGTTTTTTATTAGCTTACTGAGTAGTAACGTTGAGGTCTAGGGGTGCTGGAAACCCTGAAATTCAAGGGCAAAAGATGAGCGTCCTTCCTTGAATGAATTCAACTCAAGCCTTCTTTCAGTCAGAGACAAGGTTTATTAAAACACCTGTTGAGGGGGGCAAGATTTTAAGAATCTGAGCAGAGACAAGGTTTATTATGTAGACAACAGAATCGAGCCAGACTCTTAAGGAGGCTAAGCAATTTAATAAATGAGACTGAGCTTTTTATAGTGTGGCCAATAGCTTGGGGTGACTGGGAGGTAACAGAAGAGGTCCTGGAAGGGCTGGGTGCCCCAGGCGAATGCCAGGGACCTGGGCCACATGGGAAAGTCCAGGGCTTTTTCTTTTTGGGGTCCAGATCCCAAAGACATTGTCTTTTCCTTTTAGGGGTTCAGATCTCATCCCCATCAGTAACATGGCAGCTAGATGGCTCAGTGGATAGGGCACTGGTCTTGGAGTCAGGAAGACTCATCTTCATGAATTCAAATTTGGCCTCAGACACTTATTAGTTGTGTGACCCTGGGTAAATTACCTAATCCCATTTACCTCGTTTCCTTCTCTGTAAAATGAACTGGAGAAGGAAATGGCAAACCACTCTAGTGTCTTTGACAAGAAAACACCAAATGGGGCCATGAAGAGTCAGACTTAACTGAAGGACAACAATACCATGGTAACAAAAGACCATTTAATTGGCTGTTGAAATGGAATTAGCTTTTGAGTAAGGAAGAAGAAAAGGCTGTAAACCTTTGGGTGGGGAGAGAGGCAGCAGGTATTTCCTTAAGCTGACCCACTCCAGCTGCCATGTGGCCGTGAATACTTGCCATCACTTGTTTCTTACATCTCTGCTGCTTTCTTCTTTCCTGATCTTAGGTGAAAAGGTCTTAGAGGCAGAACTGATGAAATCATGACCTTATGAGCTTTTAAAAGTCAGAAGAACCATTAGAAGTCCGGAAACTGGAGTACATTAGCAAATCTGCTTGTGGTCACGATGGCCTGATGAATGAGCTGCTTGAGCCAGCCTAGCAGTGAATGGCAGTGCCAGCTGAAGACCTTGCTAGCAGGGGATCTGCTCATTTATCCATCATGCTTGCACTTAGAAGTGGACTTTGTGGGTGGGGGAATATTTTGTATCTACCACTTTAATTATAAGCGCACTAAGCTGGTAGGTGAAAGTAGACTCTTGTTTCAGAGGTTCTTGTACTTTGATTCTTTTTTTTTTTTTTGGCTAGGCAATGGGGTTAAGTGACTTGCCCAGGGTCACACAGCTAGTAAGTGTCAAGTGTCTGAGCCCAGATTTGAACTCAGAGTCCTCCTGCTCCAGGGCCAGTGTTCTATCCACTGAGCCATTTAGTTGCCCCTTATAGTTAGTTTTTTTGTTTGTTTGTTTGTTTGTTTTTATTGGTGAGGCAATTGGGGTTGAGTGACTTGCCCAGGGTCACACAGCTAGTGATTCTCAAGTGTCTGAGGTCAGATTTGAATTCAGGCCCTCCTGACTCCAAGGCAGGAGCTCTACCCACTGTGCCACCTAGCTGCTCCTTGTGCTTTGATTCTTGCTGTATCTTTTGCAAAGGCTAATTAATGTTAATTTATATTAGTGCTTTACAAACCTCAAACCACTACATAAATCCTAACTATCATTGTTATTGTTATTATTATCACCATCATCTACTGCTTGTCAATGACATTAGTTGTCAATGTTACTAGTCAGAATGATACTGGAGGATCGATTGTTAGATGATATTCAGGACTGGGTAACTGGTCAATTGATATAATTGTTGTTCAGTCGTGTCCTGCTCTATGTGACCCCATGGATAAAGTCCATGGGATTTTCTTGGCAAAAATGCTGGAGTGGTTTGCCATTTTCTTCTAGCATTTAAGGTAGTGCTCTACAAATATTATCTCATTTTGTCTTCGCAACAAGCCTGGGAGGTGATTACTATTATTATCCCCATTTTATAGATGAGGAAATTGAAACAGACAGAGGCTAAGTGACTTGCCCAGGATCACACGCCTATTAAGTGTCTTAGGGTGGACTTGAGCTCAACTCTTCCTGCTTCCAGGTCTACCACTCTATCCATTGTACTTCCTAGGTGCCCTCAAATATCGGGGGTAATCTCTTGAATGGGAACTCAAGAGCAGCAGTTCTAGGTGTCCTCCTGAAGGTTATTCCTAGAACTCTAAGGGTAAACGCAGTGCTCTGCTCTTCAGATCTGACCTGTTAGCTGGAGTGTGGGTTGGGAGATTAGCTCCAGAGCCTATATATTACATGTTTCTTAGTCTCCTTTGAGACAGTAAATTCCAGGATAGCAGGAATTGTGTTTTATCTGAATTGTCTCCTTTAGGACTGAGCGCGGGACTCTTCACAGAGTAGGCATTTAATACATTTGTTTCATTGTCATAGGATCTTATTGTGGAAACATTAAGGTTTTCTTTACAGTGTAACTGAAAATATTAAGAAATAAATATTTCTCCAGTCTAAAGGCCTTTCCAGACTTACTTGAATGAAGGAAACCTTATTTGTACTATCCAACCTTTTAAGGAAATCATACCCTCTATTAAACTCTCATTTTCCTGTCTCTCTTAAACCTAGCCACTGTCTGTTAGGAAACTTGGAAAAGACTAAGAATAAACTGGAGGACTTTGGAAAGTGGATTAAGTGTGGCAACCAGGTTTAGAATGAGAAATGCATTAATGTAGTCAAGGTCATTGCCTGCCACCACCCATGACCAGATTTAATGGTTTCAGAAAATGATTTTTGTTTTTTAGGACTTCAAGTGACAATTGTTCTGTTTTATGAAGGAAATTGTTAACTGAATTGTCACCAAAACTTTGGACCCTTGCTCAATCTCCATTGTGAAATGTTCTTTATTCAAGAATCCTGTAATCTCCAGAGATTGCAACTTCAAAATGAGTTCTAACAGAGAGATGTCTGGTTCAAGGATGGGTCATAAGGGGACTCTACCAGTTTGGTCATTTCTCTCCCTAAGCAAAAACACACACACACACAACT